GGATTTGTAAAATTTTCTTCAGATTTTAAAGGACAATAACATACTAAATTTTTATCAAAATCGTTCGAGCCAATTTTGGGAAAATCTGATTTTCCGTTATTTTATAGGGTTTTTATGGGAAAATAACATAATTTACAATAACTTTTGAACCGTAATTTTTACAGAAATGGGATTTGTACCATTTTGTTCAGAATATAACATACTAAATTTTTTTCAAAATCGTTCGGGCCATTTTTGGGAAAATCCTATTTTCCCGTTATTTTATGGGGTTTTATGGGAAAATCCCCATTAAAAAAAATTTCTAAAAAATGAAAAAAACTATCAAAATTGTAAGGACCATAACATACTATGTTAAATCAAAACCGGATTTTTGTCTAAAAACCTATTTTCGTTATTTTATGGGGTTTTATGGGAAAATAACATAATTTACCATAACTTTTGAACCGTAATTTTTACAGAAATGGGATTTGTACCATTTTGTTCAGAATTGAAAGGGCTACAACATACTAAATTTTTATCAAAATCGTTAGGGCCATTTTCGAGAAAATCCGGTTTTTTATGGGTTTTTATGGGAAAATCCCCATTAAAAATCAAAATTTCAAAAAAATGAAAAAAACGCCTGGAGATACCATGCATTAGAACATACATACCAAATTTCATCGAAATCGGACCACAGGTGTAGTCTCTAGCTCTGTACACATCCAGACACACACACACACACACACACACACACACACACACACACACACACACACACACACACACACAGACATCACTTTGAAAACCACTTTTTTGGGTCCAGGGGGACCCAAAACGAATATATCCACTCAAAACTCAAACTCGAAAATTTTGACGAAAACAATACTTTCTCCATATACTATGGTATAGGGGGAGAAAGTAAAAACCTAGAGTCCCGGATTTTTACCCCCAGAATTTTACCCCCGGATTTTTACTCCCGGAATTATACGCCCGGACTTTTACCCCCGGATTTTTATCCCCGGAATTTTATCCCCCGCATTTTTACCCCCGGAATTTTACATCCTGGCCAGATATATAAATAAGTGAGAATTATTAATTACATTAATTATGTTTTAATTTAATAGTAAACATTTTACTATCAAGTAGTCCATATTAATTTATTTGTAACATTAACTAATCGAACAGGTTTTTAATTTTAATTTTGAGATTCGAGTATTAGAATTCGATCTTTGAAGCCAACAGTTGGTTAATATATGACGTATAAACAATCACCTGCATGATAATTGTTTCGAACATTTCTTGACAAAATAAATAAATAAAGATAGGTTACTAAATAATAAAATGTTTAAAATTAATTAAAAACAGAAATAAGATAATCGATCATTCAATTTATAAAATCGGCCAGGGGGTAAAATTCCGGGGGTTAACATACGGGGGTAAAAATCCGGGGGTAGAATTCCGGGGGGTTAAAATCCGGGGGTAAAAGTCCGGGGGTAAAAATCCGGCCCGTACATCTTCAGTTGTCTAAACGCTAGTTATATGGACAGGGGGTAAAATACCGGTTTTTATCGCTTATCTAATTAATCATGCTCTGGCTATTTTCATTAGACTTCCAAATCCACGGGGGTAAAATTCCGGCCGCGAACAAACTTTTAGCCACTCAGGTTAGTACGTCATAGTGGTCAGCTTTGACCAGGGGGTAAAATTCCAGGGGGTTAAAATTCCGGCGACCCCAATTATATTGTAGCACGGTCCCCTTAACTCCAGGCCGTGACCTGGTAGAATTGCCAACGTTGCAAGTAGTGTTGTCTTATCTAGTGCCATGTTCATTAAAGATAACATGGCAGACACGTGACACCAGCTCATTAATTCACGTATTATTCATTAAAATTAATATTTATGAACATAAATTTATTTAAAAATTGAAAATAAAACATAAAGAAATTTAAAACCAAAACAATATTTTAACTGAAAATCTATTTTTGTACTTTAAAGTGGAGTCAATATTGACCAGTACACATTGACCAGTAACCGAGCTTTAGTATTCTTTAAACAAACACAATTACCATTAGCTGCCTCCAAATAAAACACTGTTACAACACTACTTGCGATGTTGATTTTCCTTCCACCATGCGATGTTGCTACTTCGAAGGCCGCGGCCTGGAGTTAAAGGTGGCCGTGAATGTAGGTAGAGGTGGCACCATTCGTGGGTGGCACCTGGCACCTTGACGGTGACCCAGCGTTTTCCGGGACGTAGCATTGTACAGTATTTCGTTCCCCATGCAATGTGATATAACTCGCGTTTGTACATTTATTTATTTATCCATCCACTGTTCAACGCCAATTTACAATTCTGAGAGGTGTTAAGGGAAACTTGCCTCTTGGTTATAATCATAGTTAAAGGCGGCCGTGATGCATACTCCCTTAAGAAGTCTAAGGTTATGACAATATTTTTATTTAACGGCAAGCATCCAATATACAGAAAGACAAACATAGGCCTAGCTATAATTTACAAAAAACAACACAGTTTTGTTTTGTATAACATCGGTGAATAGTGATAGCAACGATATATTGGATGAAATATATCGATAGTTTGATCTTGCTTGATAGTTTGGTATACATTATATAGTCCAGTCAATGAATGCTCAAAAGGGGAGTGTAGAGGACATGGAGAGGGGGAAATTTTTTTTCTGCGGGAATGTGTTCGGGGTAGTTAGAAGATAAAAATACCAAAAGTCCCCGCCCCTGGCCCTGCTGCTTCAGCGGGGCTAGGGGGGGAAAGACCCCATTTTTTAGTTTTTTACTTCTACACTGAAAACCGTGCATCGTACGGAAAAAATGTAAATTATAAAAAGAAAGATGATAAAATTCTCTACAAGAATGGTCATATTCATTTCTTCCGTATATGCATTGGTTTAAAAGATATTCTCAAAATAATATAAAAATTCTTAAATAAATTGATTTTCACGCGTTTTTTGTCAAATAAGTTTATATAATCCATTAGCCTGTTGTTGTTTCACATCAATCAGGATAGAAAACAGGTTTTCGAACACTAACCTATATAATATAATATATCAATCGTATATATTGTGTTAAAAATAGTTTATATAAATTTAAATAAGTATGTATATTTGTCATGGAAACAAGTAATTTTGGCATAATTATTACACCAAAAATTAAAAAGATTATGTTTGTAGCTATATTTGTCCAGGTTTATTTATAACAATTACCGAAACCAATATTATTGTTCATGGTCTGGCTCACTTGGGACGAGAGGGTCCGACTTCTGTCCCAAAAACTGGTGCCATCTGGAACTGAAAACCACCATCTGATCTAGGACATCTCCATCATTCAATTCTTGTTTATTAGACTCAATATTGGCTATCGAAGTGAGAATTCGGTGTAGGCCTGTATATTCTTCATCTTCCTCATTCATCAGAATGGGCATTTCATGTAAAAAGTTCCCTTAGCAGTTCTGGCATAACGGAGAACAATTATTTGACATTTTCTTGCATGCACAAGTTGCACATCTGGCACTGTTATAATCTTTAGTACATTTGCAAAATACTTGATTAACTGTTCCTGGTTACTATAATATCGGTGCCTCTGTTCAAATGAATATCTACTGTTCAGTGGCGGTCCCTTAGTGGGGGGGAGGTATATATCCTCTCCGAAATATTTTATTAGCTAACAAAAATACTATTAGCTTAAAGATATTTTAGAGCTCAAATGAATATAAAAATATGTTATTGTGCTTCAAATTCCACATTTTTTCCGGGGGGGGGGGGTTAACCACCGGAGGCCCCCCCGGAAATTAAATCCTGGGACCACCACTTCTACTTTTGTTTTATTTCTCTGAGCTACTACTGACTTTTTTCAATCTGTAGCGTCTTTCTTGGTCTGCCATCTTCGTGTTGTTTTCTGCTATATCCGTCAAAAACAACAATGCATTACCTTACAAGGTAATAGGTATCCACGTACCTCACTTATCCATCACATATCGCACTCAAGATCCCCTTTGCCAAATAACCTTATGCGTGAGAATCGTTAACAATCCTTTAAATCTTGATAACTTTTTTAACTTATACAAATCCACAGAAAGAATATACAGGCCTACACCGAATTCTCACTTCAATAGCCAATATTGAGTCTAATAAACAAGAATTGAATGATGGAGATGTCCTAGATGGTGGTTTTCAGTTCCAGATGGCACCAGTTTTTGGGACAGAAGTCGGACCCTCTCGTTCCAAGTGAGCCAGACCATGAACAATAATATTGGTTTCGGTAATTGTTATGAATAAACCTGGACAAATATAGCTACAAACATAATCTTTTTAATTTTTAGTGTAATAATTATGCCAAAATTACTTGTTTCCTTGACAAATATACATGACTTATTTAAATTTATATAACTATTTTTAACACAATATATACGATTGATATATTATATTATATAGGTTAGTGTTCGAAAACCTGTTTTCTATCCTGATTGATGTGAAACAACAACAGGCTAATGGATTATACAAACTTATTTAATAAAAAACGTGTGAAGAATTAATTTATTTAAGAATTTTTATATTAAATTGAGAATATCTTTTAAACCAATGCATATACGGAAGAAATGTATATGACCATTCTTGTAGAGAATTTCATCATCTTTCTTTTTATAATTTACATTTTTTCCGTACGATGAACGGTTTTCAGTGTAGAAGTAAAAAACTAAAAAATGGGGTCTTTCCCCCCCTCCCCCCGCTGAAGCAGCAGGGCCAGGGGCGGGGACTTTTGGTATTTTTATCTTCTAACTACCCCGAACACATTCCCGCAGAAAAAAAATTTCCCCCTCTCCATGTCCTCTACAATCCCTTTATTGACTGGACTATATAATACTGTATGCGATTTTAGTTTTTTTGTTGATGTTCAGGGAATTTTGTGTTTGCCAGATCTTGTCCCAGTTTCCAGGTGGTGGCTCTATGTTGGTGTAAGTAGATTGTGACGTCATCGTACAGTACCATCGCGGAAATGGTTCAGACGACATGGCAGTTAATCTGCAGTTGTTTTTATTCCTATTCAAATCAAAATATCGCCGAAAATGTAATATTCAAGAAATTTTTATCTGCTTAGTTATTATTTATTCATCTGTGTTAAATGTTATGTGTAGTGCTAAGTGCAGTGATGTACATTGTGTGAATGGTGAATGCATAAATGGAACTTGTGTTTGTTTTGATGGGTGGCAAGGGCCTTCCTGTCAATTTTGTGGAGGTAAAGTAAGGTAAGTAATAATGCTTATCTGTTCTATATAAAATCAATAAAACATGTGTTATAAGTGTGTTAAACAAAGCTTTATGTTTTGCCTTTTTATGGCTGTAAATATGGATGCTTATGAAAACTTTCTCCAAGAACAACCCTATCACTAGCCAAGACCACTAAGACAAATTGCATTAGTAGGCTAGAATTTGGGTGGTTTTGTCTGACCTAATCAATAAATAGATCCTTTTGAACTCTGTGACCATTTACAATGCCATCCCGAATTCTGTATTAATTCATACAAAAATATGTTTCCGGTTTTAATAATAATGCCAGTGGTAAAGAATGGCACCAACCCAAACCTCTAAACAGGCTGTATTAAGTTAATTTAAACGTGTTTAAGTTACCTTAACACAAACTATTCCATTGCCCAGAAAAGGTGAAGCCTATTTGGAACTCCTATTTTAGCCAAGTTAGTTTGCAGAATGTTAAGTATTCAAATGAGAAAAAAGAAACTGAATTCTTGTCATAGCCTACTTTTTTAGTAAGAGGCCTTAACTTATGCCTTTTAATAATTAACATAGGCTAGTAAGTTAGGTCGTGTTCTAAACCTAGGTAGGCCTAGCCTACAAAAAAGTATTTTAGACTGCTTAGAAACTAGGTAATGTAACTAAGTAACTTATGTAGAATGTAAGTAGAAAACAGTAAAGTTTAAGTAGGCCTATGCAAAAACTTTAGTTTAGTAGTTACCTAAGTGAGTAAGAATATATTAAGCTAAACACTAAGTAGGCCTAGGCCAATTCCTATACAATTCAGGCAATATAATAAGGTAGGACTGGCTAAGAGAAGTTAGGTAATATTTTAACAGACAACATTTGTAAAACTCAGAACCCTTGAATTAGGCTACACTTATGTTAATTCAACTGGTTAACCGGTAAACTGGTAAGCCAAGTTCAACAGCTAAAAACTTGTGAATAACAACTGATTTAACTTACTTTAAGCTTAGTTCATGCATAACTTAGGGCAATCTCAAGAAACAAGTCAGGCTATCTAAGTTAAATAAGTTAATTGCCCTAAAACTATAATTTTACTTACTGTACTGGTACTCAAGTACTTATACTGTTAAACTTAACTGCAGCTTCTTCTTAATAACCTTGGTGGCAGTAGGCTACTTAGCTTCTGGGGGAAAAATGTAGGAAGCTATTATTAAGGTTGCTGACTGGAGAAGAAAGTGTTTATATCCAAAAGCCACACATGGTTTGATCAATTGATGGTTTGAATCATCTCAAAGACCATGGGGTACGGTACCTTAGCTGTCAAGTTTGCGGGAGCCAAGTCAATTCCTTTCCCCTACGGACTTGGGAATCCCTCAAGGTTCTCACCTCCAGGATACATATTTTTTCTTCAACATTGTGGATTGTATTTACTCTCGTGCTTGTTGTTTGCTGATGATAGCAATTTTTTCAAGTGTATCAAGTCTCAGGCTGACGGTTCCTCGCTTCAGCAATGTTTAGCATTCAATTGATAACTTATGCCTGGCAAACTGCATTGACATCCATGTTTCCAATTCTGCTGTTATATCTTAATTACCGTACTGTACCAAGCGACACATTGAATAAGTTACTTCTACAGAATAAATAATGCCGTCCTGCCTCAAAGAGTTCCACATGCGCGATCTAGGAATTTAAATAACATATTGGAATTTAAACCCTGACCTGCACATAATATGCCTACAATTTGCAATACTGTTACTTAGGGGCCTATAGCATCTAAAGCCATAACCAACACTAAACAAGGTCTCTGATAATAGTTGTGTTTGTCATTAAGTAAGTTAGATGTTGTATGGTAGATAAGGACTGGAAGTTAATGCTCTGAAAACTCTATATGTACTGGTACTGTATGACTGAAGTTGGACCTGTGCTGGAATAAGTTATGGCAGCTTGATATGGAACCCACATCAAATTATCCATGTAGCCTAACTTATCAAGAATAAAAAATACTTAGACTTGTTTTCTTCTCTCTATTGATAAAACTGTTCCATGATTTTTATGCGGAACTGTATTTCCTTGGAAGTTGTAATACTTTGTCTAACAAATTTCCACGTTACAATGCCACGGCTCCACACACTTGAAAATCAAGCATGCCAACATGTAGATTTGTTCACATGCAAGTTGAAGTTCATAAAAAAGGTTCTCGTTTAAGTTATTAGGGATTGTTATACCGGTACCGGTAGTTGGATTAAAGTGTCTGCATGTAAGGTCACTGTCCGGAATCTGTTGTCTTGTTTGTTTTTATCTTTTTACAATTAGTATTTTTTGCACTGTTAACTTAAATTTGTATTTTATTTATACTGTAGTTTACGTCACTGTTATTAGACGTTGCACCTGCTGCTTTTAAGTGATTTGCTGTATTCAATTGTACTGGAGTCAGCCTCTATTGCTGACTCAATTTCTAAGTTCACAAACTCATTTATGTTCAGCTAGTGATGTAAAATACCCGGGTATTTAAAACTCAGGGTAAATACCCTGGATATTTACCCGGGTAAATACCCAAAATCCATAAATACCCGGGTATTTTTGGGTATTTATGAAATCGATAGGAATTCATTTATATTCACCCCTAAATATGTTATTGTTATCATTACATGAAAAATTAGGATAGTCTATAACATCTTTTACTGTAACTTGAAGCTTTGCTAGTACCTTTTATCTTGGACTATTAATACAACAACTTTTATTTAATGATTTAGGACTTTTTAAAATAAAACATTAAGTTTTTAAATAAGAATGGGGTTTCGTTTATTATCATGACAACACCTCATCAGAGAAATAGTGAACCTAAACCTACTTCTACTGTTATTAAATTATGATAGTTAAAATGTTTATCGTATAAATGGCATGGAAGGCTAGACAGACCTAAGGCAGAATGGCAGAATACTAAAAGAAATTAAACTTTTCTATGTTACCGCTTAGTTGGAAACAATAATATATTTGGATAAACCTACTAAAAAAATGTATCTCCTGTTTTTTGGTCTAACTTAATATAATTTTGAAAGATTTATTGTGCTATAGATTTAAATGTTTTGTATCACAAGTTTATGAAATTAGTTTTTTTTATTATTTTGATACCATTGATACCAACAAAAGATCTAGAACAAAAATATTATTTATTTAATACTGCCATCCTACAGATTGAACTTTAATTATTTTCTTAAATTGTTTACACGCCTAGGCCACAACTAGGTTAAATTTTCATGTATTTATAAATAACTAGTGTACATGTTGCTCGAATTCGAGCAATTAGGATTTGCAAACCAATAACAATCATACTAAGCTGTCCACATTTCAACAAAAACACACCTACCTTCCCTGTAGCAGCAAACCTAGGTACTCATATTAAAATTAACTTATTGTTATTTATGTAGGAAACAATGACCATTTTCAGGGAATATGTTTGTAGAAATTAAGCCAGGTAAATGGAAATATTGGTTTGCTGCGGATGCACAGTTTTAACAACAACAGCAATGATTGAAGAATCTGAATTATTACTTATATCCATGAGTTTATCTAGCAATTATTTCCTGTAAAATATTGTTGTAAATGTAAAATAGCAGCTAAAAAATATTGGACAGACTCGGTCAACAAATGACGTAACTGAAAGAATCCCATACTAATGACATTAACATATAGTTTGACAGTAGTTCCATTTAATCAATGTTAAATGTTTACATTCGGGCGAGTGGCATATTTTATTTATGTTTATGATCCATACAGTTCCTGTTCTAATAATCATGCAGTATTTAATATATTTGGACCAGCTGTGTGGAATTTTGAAATCAAAATTAATTTGACAGTTAGTTCTGATTGTTTACATTTTTAAATTTTGTGGGTTTGTTCTTTGTTACCATGGATACCATAAATAAATATTTCACTTTTAATTTCTGACAACAGCTGGAGTTTCATAACAAATTTTGTTTCCCATGTTAATCTTATGGATAAATACGAATCTTTAAAGGGCCCCAGGGCCTCACTCTCTAATTATTTACCTAAAAAGAAAGTTTCCTGCACAACTTCACGTTACGCTCTTTACAATGACACCAAAAACATGCCAATCGGTTCAGTAGTTTCGGAGGAGTAATTGTCACAAAAATCCTGCTTGCGTATTAAATAAGTATAGATAATTATTACTTTGCAAATTATTTTTCTTCACTTTCAATAAAATAAATTCATCTATCTATCATAGAAATTAAAAAATGATACGAAGTCAAGAGCAGTGCAACCATGCGACCAGGGTATTTATGCCGGTTATGCTTTATGCTCAGACCTGGGTATTTATAGCGATTGTACCCAGAAGTAAAATGCTAGTAGTGACCATATGAAATTTTATTTAACACATTTTATCATCATTTTACTATCCTTACAGGGTTATAATTGCAAAAAAACATCTCAATCTTCTCTAACTTTAATACAAATTATAAATACCCAGTTTTTGGGTATTTACCCTGGCCTGGGGTAAATTCCCGGGTAAATACCCAATTTATATTTACCTACCCACTGGGTATTTACCCGGCCCACATCACTATGTTCAGCCCTTTTGTATCTATTTGTTGACGAATGACATATATATTTTGGTCGCCAACCCTAACTTAGTGGCTGAAGTCATGGAGTTTCAAACTTCTGTCATGGGAGATATTGACTCTAGGTTATCCCAAGTTGAGGGAGCAGGCAACCAAAGTACTGTCCAAGTGTACCAGCCCTATTAAGTTACTCTTAAAAGTTTAGCTTAGTTTTATTGCTATAGGCCTACTAGAAATAACTTCCGTGAGAGTAAACTTACCAGAAATCTAAGAGTAAACTTAGAAATTACCAACTCACAGGGTTTTTTTTTGGCCTTGCAAAATCTAGGCTTTTGTAAAACAAATGAATTTACAAAATGTGATGAAGATTTGTTTACAAACCATCAATGTAGGTATTTTAAACAATTGTTTAAGTTAGGCTTTTCTTTACAAGGACGATATAGAGACAATAAGCAACATAATACCTTTTTAACATTTGATGTTTACAGCTTACACAACAACAGATTGCTCTAATGTCCTTTGACCTCATCATCATTCATGATATACGAATAAACATAAACAAACTGATAAACTATTTTGTTTTCATCTTTGGTTCTGGTATTTTTAGTTTACCATTAAAACAGTAGGTAGGTAGGCTGATCATATTTTCTGAAACGGCTAATATTTTTTTTTAATGAATATTTTTCAATTTAAAATTGTAAGATATTTTTATTAATTTTGGAACATTAACTTAGATAAACCTGGTTTAAGCCTATCAATGTCTCTAATTTAGGGGCCTATATTGATTGGCCGACCATATTGATACAATAATTTAAAATACATTAATAGGCCTATAGATAATAATTATTGATAAAATTGTGAACAAATTTAAAGTAGAATCACTTTGTCAACAGTTTATTTTCTTGGCGATCGCGTTGACCGTCCTCAACATAAGTTTTTTATCTGAAACCACTTGACTAAATTCACGGTTTGCTGTGTAATGCTTTGTGCTTCTGGTGTGTTCAGTGGTGTTTGGTGGGTATAGGTGGAAAGGCAGCAGCGTGGCGCACACAGCGATGAAGGCCGCTGTAGTTGTAGGCCTACCAACTGTCAATGCAGGGGGATGAGGTTATTGTTTTTTTAACTTTTAAGTCTAACCGTCACTTAACATAGAATGTTGTGCCAAATAAAATTCACATTAAAATATTTGTGATTTGATGATAGTAAACAAGCTCGAAATGCCTAACCTAGAATGTACAGTAAACTTAGGTAGGCCCTACCTTGTTGCAGACTGTCTCAGCTCTCTGGACACATCCATGACGGAGCAGGTAACTACTCCATCGACGTCAAGTGCAGCTGGTTGGTGGATGCTAAGCCATACAATGCTTCCATCCGTCTGCACATTGAGGAGTTTGCCACCGAATGTGGTTGGGACCATTTATACGTATTTGATGGTGATTCTGTCCATTCCCCTCTTCTTGCTGTTTTTAGGTAAGCTCAGTTTCTTTATTAGAACAATTTTTTGCTAATTGACAATGTGTTGAGGACAGATTTTTTTATGGTTTGTCGCCTCTACCACAATATTTGTAGGCCTGGTCTTCTCCAACAACATCGTCTCCTCCCCATTTTTTTCAACCCTCCAAGTGTCCATAGTTTAGGCCTTAATGTCCGCCTATTTTTGGCGCATTTGCAAGGTTTTATTAAAACGGATCTGAAAAGCTTAAAACAATGTTAATTCTACTGTTCTAGGGTATACCATTTTGTTTGGAAAATCATGGGCTTCAATATCATACATAAAACCTAAGGAATATTTGTTTCAAAAAAACTTTTTAGGTAAAAATAAAAATTATTTTGGAAAAATTGAACAAAAAAATAAGTTCGCGCTCAATGAAGTTGTATAAATTATAGGCCTATAAATATTTGAAAATAGCCACTTTATTCTAAATTTTATGAGGATTACAAATATATAATAATATATGGAAGTAGATTTGCAAATAAATAAGTTATGGGCAAAAAACAGATTTTAGTACATAGCGTTTAGCTAAGAATGCATAGCCTAACCATAGCTAGGAATCTGGCTGATAATTTACATCAATATCACTACCTACTTCTTCAGGATCATCAACCAGCCCTTCAAAATCACTTAAATCTTCTTATAATGCACCACGTATATCACTACTTTTGATTTGTAACACTAAAACAATGATAAACATAATAAAACACATCAGTCATCGGTCCGAGGTTAACTAAACTGTTTACAAATACGCACGTCAAGCTGTCTGCTACAATTACGATCGGCTCGGAGAACATAAAGCGCTTAGAGACAGACCTCTGGAGAAAGCTTAGAATATAATGAAAAGAACGATACCAAACTCGATCCAGTTCAATCCGATTTTGTCAGTCATAGAGCCTTCGCCGTAAACAGTGTTCGTGAGTCGCTGCAGCGACGCATGACACTCGGAGGGTTAACCTTCGACACAAGGTCTACTATCCACACAAGAACACATTTTTGTTCTTCAAAAATAGTTTATGATCTTCTCAATAAGTGAGGAAGGGTGTCATAATCTTGATTTATTAGGCCTACTCTATTCTAAATAGTCAGCTGTTAGTAAATAAGTTGACACTTCTTATTGTTACTTTTGTAAACATTACATTACAAATTTCTATGGTGTTAAAAAATAAGGAGATATAATTCACAATGTTTGTGTATTTCAATAGTACGGTCACACCATGCGGAAGTTGCATCTAGACTCAGAGCGCAGTCTAGACGCAACTTCCGCATTTTCAACACGGGTCCGCTTGTCGAGTTCGATGTTATATTTTATCGGCCGTATATGTGTGTGCACTATGTGTTTATTTGTCATGTGTTTGTGTAAATGTAAAAAACTGACGACCTTCATATGAAGTAATACGAGGTGTGGCTAGAAAGAAACCGGACTAGTCCCGGTGCAACAATAAAACGAATGCAATAAGGCTGAAAGTCGCGTGGCCTGTCACGTGACTCTCGCCCCGCCTACCGCTCGAGTTTCATCCGCCTTCTTTACTCAGTCTGCCCGTGGCGTCTGTTTTAAGTAGTTGTCGTTTTGTCTGTGCGTCGGAAAAATGTTGAGTGTACAAAAAGAACAGCGTGATAACATCAAATTTCTTTTCAAACTTGGAAAATCTGCAAGTGAAACGTTTGTAATGTTACAACAAGTGTACGGCGATGATTGTTTATCACGAACACAAGTGTTTGAGTGGTTTAGGCGATTTAAAGATGGCCGCGAAGACACAAGTGACGACACTCGTACTGGCAGACCATTGTCAGCAAAAACTGATGCAAACATTGAAAAAATCGGTAAACTTGTTCGACAAGATCGCCGGTTAACAATCAGAGCAATGTCTGAGTTGACAGGAATTGACAAGGAAAGTGTTAGGCATATTCTTCATGAAAGTTTCAACATGAACAAAGTGTGTTCAAAAATGGTTCCAAAGTGTCTCACAATTGAACAGAAAGAACGCCGAAGAATGATTTGTTCTGACATCCTAGAAAACATTGAAAGTGATCCCACATTCTTACAAAATGTTATTACTTGTGATGAATCGTGGTTTTTTACTTACGATCCCGAAACCAAACGCCAATCGATGCATTGGAAATCCCCTGCTTCTCCACGACAAAAAAAAGCACGAATGTCGAAATCAAAATTCAAGGCAATGATGATTGTTTTTTTTGATATCAAAGGGATTGTGCACATTGATTGGGTACCAGAGTGACAAACAGTGAATCAGCATTACTACATTAGTGTCCTTACTACCTTACGTGAGCGAGTACGGAGAAAGCGGAACAATTTGTGGAAAACAAAGTCATGGATCCTGCACCAAGACAATGCCCCAGCTCACAATGCGTTGTCAGTGAAGACGTTTTTAGCCAATCACAACATTCCCATCTTGGACCATCCACCCTACTCACCTGATTTGGCCCCCTGTGACTTCTTTCTTTTCCCTAAAGTCAAGTCAGCTTTGAAAGGAACTAGATTTGAGAGTGTTGAAGCAGTAAAAGAAAAAGCGACGGAAGTAATGTATGGACTTACCGAAAATGATCTGCAGCATTGCTATGAACAGTGGAAAATTCGTATGGAGCGGTGTAGAGACCAAGGAGGAGAGTACATTGAAGGAGATAACATCAAATTGTAAATAATTGTAAATACATTTATTTTTCAGCATCAGTTAGGTTTTTTTCTAGCCACACCTCGTATCATCCTTGTACACACGTGATGATGACCTCCTAGCAGGTCGAAACTTATTTTTGAAGACAACAATCGGATTGCAAGAATAAGGTATTTAAACCACTCTCACTAGTTATTATTCACAATCCGGAGGCTACTCACACCACAGTGAAATAGCTTTCTTTGATAAACTGTGTACAATTCTCACATTATTGTACTCAACTAAAAGTCAAGTATTTTGAGTGATTTTCTTATGAGATGATAATGATAGAAATGATAGCATTTTAATTAGAAGGTTAGGTTGGAAACTTATTAACAGTTCATTATTAAGGGCCTCCATCAGTTTTATCACTAACTAGTACTAGATGGCTGGAGCTTGTCACTGTTATCTTTGACATTACTGGTGATTTACTACTGATGTAGGCTTTTTATAATTAATGCCTGGTCAATTTACCCTCTCACACCACTACTACCTATTATATTTAATTAAATTTAAAGACATAACAATGTTCTGATACAATCAAAACTACCCTTATGATTTGTCACACACTATTATAAAAATATTAACCTTTGTATCCTCTAAGTTCACTGTATCCGGCCATCAAAGGAAACCTTCACTTAAACAAGTTGATTACATCTTAAAGCTGTATTTGATATATTATGGTATTACATGGGAGTCAAGTATGAAACTTCTGTGGCCTGTGGGTTTATCCAGTAGGCCTACAGTAGACTCCCTCTTAGGCAGACACCGTTTAATTGGACTACACTCAGCAGAAGTGACATCTCTTTAGACAATTTTTATTAGCACATCTGTTTAACCGGACTGGATCGGAAGAAAGTGGGAGACTGTTTTAAGTGGGTGTTGAAATGACTTTTCTCTTGATCCTTGTCTAAATACAATTCTCTCCCAAATTTAAATAAAATATTTAGGTTAGTTTTTGAGTTATTATGGGATATTGGTTTAAATGGAAAACCGTTATCTGGACTGGCCTCGGTCCCGATGAGTTGAGATAAAGGGAGTCTACTGTATTCTTTGTTTGTCAGATCTATTATGCAACTCTTAAGTTCACCTGTCCAGTGTCCATAGCAAAGTTAGTAGGGGAGGTCCACCTAAAATAAAAAGTGAATGGCTCCAGTGGAAGTGACAGAACGGATGGAATTTTTACGCACCTGAATATCAGGCATATTGTTTCTTTTTATCCAAGTAACCCATAACTGTGTGTGTAAGTCCAATTACAGATAAAATGATACAATTTTTGTTTTCAAAATGTGAGGGGGAAAATAGCTAAATGAATAATAACGGGGGGTAAAAGGGGTAATGCAAGTAATATTAATATAATTAATCAAGTAAGTACAGTATAATGTAAATGTAAGGACAATTTAACATTTTTGTAATCCATAACTTTGCTGAGTTTTCTTCGTTAGCTTTAACTCTATACTCATGCACTTCTCAGGAAGGACATCAAAAATATTTTCTGAAAATAAGTTCCAGTATAAATAGAAATAAAAGAGTAAAACGTATAGTGTAAAGTTTTGGTCGGAAGCGTGCAGAGGGTGGTGTAAGACGGTGGGCAGTCTTGAAGACTTCATTAGGTGTCGGCATGATTACAAATCATGACATCGGCCTTGGCACTCACTTAGCATACTAATAAAAGCAACTCCTACGCTGTCCACCTCCCCACCTTGTAACTGTGCATTATAAAATTGTATGTTTAGGTTATTCTTTTGTTAAAAATAAATAGAATTTTATGTTTGATAGTAGGTCTAATGTTTGATATGTTTAGCTTTTTAAAACCATTGTAATGTGTTGACTTAAGTAATTAATGAATGTACTTAAAAATATATTGGCTATCTACTGTTGATAAAAATATTAGTCATTTTGTTTAAAACCAATCTAATTCCTTACCAATTCTAGTTTACCTACAGTTTTGATTGTGAAACACTACTCACTTTTTTATTCCATTCCATTTATGTTTACTAGCTAATCCCACTGACTCCTGTAGATCATTTCGCACTAGGTAGCCTTATAAGTTTGCCTAGCCTTAAAGAAATATATTTTTTCAAACTGAGAGTTTCAATTGAGTTATGTTCCTGAAAAACCAAAGGGGAATGTGTAAATATTTTTTACAACAGAATTAAAGAAAAACCTTTGCGAATGCGGACGATGACGTTTCCGCAACCGCGGGAAACGATGATGATGTCCAAAAAATATTGCTTTACGATGGTGATCGCGGGAAATTATTTGAATTAAGCTACGATCGAGAAAGATAATGATAACTTTACTGTGATCGCGGGAGACGATTATAATGTTTCCGTTACCGTAGAACAATATCAGGATTTTGTCACGACCACGGAAGACAGTGGTGATGTTTCTGTTACTGAGTGAAATATTCAGGATTTTTGCAGAAAACGATGATGGAGTCTCTATGACAGTGGTAGATGATCACGATATAACCTCGAGTTTGGCTTGACCAAACAATTCAAAATGGCACAAGTTTTTTTTTTATTTTGCAATATCTTCATTTAACTTTAACGTGGTATTTATTTATAAGGGTTTAAAATTTAAATTGGCTACGTGGAAATTTTGTAATTTCTACATTAATTATTTCTGTAGGTCACTTGAGAAACAACCTATAGCTCCAAAATTAAATACTATATGAAAGTACATAAAGACAGGGGTTGGTGTGATAATCCTTCAGAAAATTTGGTAAAATTGAAATTATCAGTATTAAGAATCTATTTTTCAGGTGTCTGTACAGAGTTTGATAAAGTTAGCGCTAAAACAGCATTGCGGGGGTTGGCGCAAAACACGTTGGAAATTTTAGTATAGATGTACGACCTGAACTACCTGGAATTTTTTTGTTTACTCATGAATTTTTTCTGTTTGGTCTGGTGGACAATCTCGCGGAGTGGGGGATTGTGGGAGAGCCATTTTGTCAATTTAAGCAAATCTTTAAATCATAAAATTAAACCGCCATAGCCTAACCCAACCAACCAAACTTGCTGATAATATAAAAAAGATATAAGATAAAAATCAAATGAAGGTTTACTTATAATTTTTAATTAATCTTCTTCTTCTTTCCTCCAAGGATTAGGCAGCGCCTGTTCAGTTTTATATTAATATAAAATTAATTTAAAAAATTTTAATTATAAAATTAAACTGTAATGACCTATCCTAACCATTTAAACTTGCTGATGATATAAAAAGATACAAGATAAAAATCTAATGAAGGTCTACTTATAATTTTTAATTATAAAATTAACTTAATTTTACAATTTTTATTATAAAATTAAACTGACATAACCCAACCGAACCAACCAAACTTGCTAATAATATAACAACTATATAAGATGAATATCAAATGAAAGTTTACTAATTTAAAAAAATAGTTCTTAAAAAAATAAAGTTAAAATTAAAAAAATAAGCAAAATCTTGGACAAAAAGTTAGTGTCGCCGGCGAGATTCAAAATGCAGACCCTTTGATCACGAGTCCGAGACGCTATCAACTACGCCACGAACACCGATGGAATCAAAACGTCACGTTATAGTAATGGTGTTCCCTCAAGAGTAGAGTGACGTCAGGCCCCCCACTCCTTCGCAGAAAAGGTTCTCACCAGTTTTGTCGAAGGGGAAAACAAGGCACTATACAAAATATATGAGCAAAACTTGATATATGTTTATTTCTTAATAATAAAAGGTAAACATTGAATTATTTACAATATGAAATTATTCCAGCCATATGATCAATATTAAAATCAAAGATATATTTTTGGAATATATAACACTTTTCCAATTTAATCTCTCTCCAGGTTTTGCCTTTCTCATTTTCCTGTTATAAACAACTTGCTCTGACAATTTTATAGAAAACCCAAATATCCACATAGGGTACTTACTACAATAACTTAAGTGTTTTCTCCCATCCTTTTTCCCTGTCCTACTGAACTGAATTTTACGATTTAGGTGTAATTTTAAAGCTTATGAACTAACGGAGGGACAAAACTTGAAGCATAATTTTATTCAGGGCTTCCCCCCATAGTGTTCGATTTATTTCTAAAGTTCACTTTCAAAGATCTAGTGATGCTGAACAATCTTCCTTTTACCGGTTTAAAATGTGAATTGTAATTTGATAACAACTGATCCTCCAGTTGAGTAGTAGACAAGAGACGAAACAGTTCATGAAAATAGATTTTAAATAGCCTAGGCTTTTTTGAAAAATCTATATTCATAACTAAATCTATATTTTCTCTAAATGAAAATGTTCGATGACTTTTTGTGATAATTGTAACGTTATTGAGGTAGGCAAATAACTGTTAGGCATAGATCCACCCAAATTTAGTCCATTGTCAATTAGCAGTTTTATTCACCTAATAACTGTTATTATGTTAAACAAACATACACTTTGAAAGGTAAAAGGGTAGGCCTATTGCATTATTTGTTTTCCCCCAAAAACATGTTTTTAACTCTATTAAAATGTACAATTTCACACACATCTGCTCGTAGCATATATTTTTACAAACAACACAATTATGTGCAATGAAGTCACAACCATACTCTTTCAATAATGTATAATAAATAGTAGGCCTAATTAATTTTAATGTTTAAAATACTTGCTTTACTCCAAACTCGATAGTGTTGTAAAATATCGAGTGGGCCTTAGATAAGCAGTTATTTTAATGACATGTTTAACATTTAGCTTCACTTCTTAGGTTTGGGAAATCAGTGATCTTTTCCTTCTGTTTTCATAATTTTATTCTTTTAAATGTTCTGTTCCCTCGATTACAAGCTTTAAAATGCATTGCTATTGTTCAATCTGTTGTACCAGCAGGATGTGCAGTAAGTTGCCTCTAACCTACTATTGTAATGTTACAGTGGACTCATGTACAAGGACTCATATGCAATTCGTAGGATACCAGAGGTGGTGGCGCATTCTGGCTCTGCTCTGCTGCACTTCTACAGTGATGTTGCTTATAACATGACTGGCTTCAATATATCCTACAGGTCAGTTTCACTAAATCAATAGCCTATATAAATCTTGAAATAAAAAAAAATGTAACATACAGCTAGGCCCTATTAAATTTGATAGTGAAATTTCCTTAGCTAGCTATAAGCTGTTACAAGAGGAAAACCAATAAAAATTTGAACACATTGTTAATTAACTAGGTTGATCCTAGCCTAGTAATCAGTGTGGAAGAGAGACGATGCTCATTCCTAGCAAATCCAAACAAATTTCATGTGTTTAGACTGATTTCCTTCACAAAGTTTATGATAGCCTAATCAAAAATGCCACTAGCCTAATTTTTTTCATCCAAAATAAAAGTCCGCCATAACTAAAAAAAAAAAAATAAAACAAACAGACAAACAAATGAATATTAATCATAGTACAAAGAATTGTTCTTTCACTGCAAAGTCACTGACTTTATTTATTTGGTGTGTTTGTGTGTTCCAGACTTAACTCGTGTCCCAGCAGCAAGTCCAGTGTGAACTGCTCGGGTCACGGGGTGTGTCTAGACGGAGTGTGTACTTGTGATGCTATGTGGATGGGTGAGGCTTGTGACCAGGAGATCTGTCCCAACAACTGTAGCTACAGCAATGGGGTGTGCAACAGAGAGGCTCACCGCTGTGACTGTGAGGACAAGTACAAAGGTAAAGTGACTAGTCAATTGCTTTTATTCTTCAATTTGCCAGGTTGCAGAGGCTTGCGTAGTTTAACTACCATTTTTTTTGTAAAAAATCTAGCCTATCTAAAAAATATAAATCATTGGTCATCCTCTTAACGGACGAAAATAAATAACATGAATTATGTCAGTACGCATAGTAGGGCCTAAATGAAATAAAAAACAATATTTTTCCAAATGCTGAACTTGTGTCACAAATTATGAATGTTGGCAACTCGTCACTTAAAACAAATGGTAATATACCAAAAACTCAGGTAGCGAGCCGGTCTAGTTGTAGAGAACAGGAGTTCGGTCTCTGAGGTCCCAGACTGCCTGCCGGAAGTATGTAAATAGTTGTAAATATTGTTTTTTTGTATTAGTAATCGTGTTTAAAGTGACGCTGTCAATCCCACATTGTGGGTAAAAGACAAAGAAGGAGGTATTAAGGTATTAAGGCTAAAATCCTGCCAATCACCAATGTATTTTAAATATAAGTGATAATGCCTAGCCTGAAGTAATATGAAAACGATCCCGTGCTAGAGCCTATTTAAAAAATGTACGTAATTATATGAACAATTAATTCAAAACTAGCTGTGGTCTCGTCCTACGCACGGGAATCAAGTATTCAAGTATTAGTATTAAGTAGGTATACACCACCTTCCTCTGTATACTATTTTGTCTTACCTTACCCACAGTGAAGCAAGATACAGAGGAAACATTTAATGGTGGTTTCTAGCGCTAGTGCTGGTGTATAGGGCACACCCAATTTTCTGAACCATACTCTAGTACTGGGATGATTATGGCACAGTATAAATTGATTTTGGTTCATAACCACATTAGGTTTTCCATGTTTTGCCATTGATAATGTAGGCAATATGATGCATGGTACCATTGTTGCCAGTATATTTTCAAATTTCGTCTTTTTTTATAGCAATAAAATTTCTTCACATTTCTTAAGAACTACCCGATTTCCTGCATACCCATCTTAAAGTACTCTCAGTCCTGTCACAATTTTATTATCTTCAACTCCTATTCTTTTGGTTAGTTGCTGTAATAACGTCAATAATTTTTACCTGAGAAAATTTAAAGTTAAAAGGCTTGATGTTTTTCCCTTAACTGTGAATAATAATTTAATCCTTCAATGAAAGTTTTAGTTAAGTTTTTACTGGATGTAGTCATACACTCTTCTAAAATCAATCGACGTTTTTGGTAACATATGTTTAATGTCATGGCTGTACCATTTTTATTCAGCCTTAGAGGCTTTTCCTCTGTAATGATCACAAAGTTTAGTCCATGTTGATCATAATGTAAACATTTTTTCCATAATGATAACATGGGAACTTGAAAAGCCACTGGGGCATAGCTTGAGGGACGTTTTCAAAAATTTAAGGCCAGTTTGCAAATCTTCACGATACGGTCTTTCCAATAAGACGTGAATGGTCAAAATCGGTTAAGAAATTACGGAGGAGTTCAAAGGACAAATTTCATGTTGGCGTATTAATTTAAGAAGACAATAGATGATGAAGACAACATGATTATGACCTAAAGGTTGAAGCTAGTTGTTGATAAATAAAAATTAATTTTAAAAGAGTACTAAGTGTTAATGTGTTCAGCTATATACCGTATATTATAGATGTATACAAATTTGAACAAATTTTGTTTCTGTCCTCTGGGGAATCAAAATTAACCCTAGCAGTGGCCAATGATCTTCATACGATCGTTTGCCCTGATGCCTATAATGGCCACCATTGTTAAGCGATAGAACAGGCCAAAATTTTTGTAATGGTAAAAAAACCACTAATAATTAACTCAGAAGTGAAGAATATTTATACCATTCAAAAGATCACATTCTGAACTTTAATTTTATTACATAAATTAACCGTATACAAGTTGTATAACAATGTCACGACGGTTATAATTACAATGACATTTTGTCGCTACACCATTCCTGCAGTCAACGCTCGGAAAATGTAAAACACAACTTGTTTGGCATTACCCTGCTCAGGCAATTTTCGTCTTGGGACATTACATGTGGTACCACTGGATAGCCATTGAGTTTATTTTCATTGTGTTATTGATTTTTAGAAAGAAATGTTGATTGGACAACAGTTATGATTTTATAAAAACAGCTGTTTTTGGAATTTATAACAAATGGCCAATCATCACAATATGATAGTACGGAAAATATGAATGATATACAGTGTAAGTTATTATTACTAGTCATATAATATGTCATTTTGAGGAGGAAGAAATAAAAATAAAGCTATTGAGAGTGGCAGCCCTTTCCTCAGGGTTATTTCCGTTGCTCTCAGGAAGACGACAGAAGTGCGTCACTACTGTCAAGGTCTCATACACTAAGTGCCTTGTATTCGCCATTGCGTGTTGTTGTTGATGAGTTTTCGCTCTTGTGTTATTAGCTATCTATTACTAAATTCGTTATTATTATTTTATTATGCATGAATATTACTGAATAGTGTGAAATAGTGTTTATAAAAGATTGTATTTTTCTTGCGGTTGTTTTTGCGGTTTTCTGCTTATTATATTATTATGCCCCTAACATTTACAAAAAAAAAAAAAATGGTTACCCAATGTGTTATACTTATGTAGGTAATGAATACACTACAAGATGATTATGGTTTGAAAAATATGTACAAAAGTTTTAAAGGCTACTATGATTTTTTTCACAAATTGCTAAATTATAAAAAACATGATTTTATTTATTTAGCCTACAAGTATTTATAAATAAAAATTATTTTTACCATAATCTTTATGACTTTTTTGGGTTCCTTACTTCATTAGCTTTACAAATATGTAATATCATTGTTAGTATGCAAACTAACACTGTACGATTTTCAATTTTTTTTGGTTCTCCGTTTACGCCCAAAACACCGCTGTTTAACATTAAGCCCCGTCAAGTAATACTTAATTACGCTCGTATACTACGCCCAAAAGACTTACAAAAAAAATTCCTAGCATGTTATATATTTCTATGTAGAGAATTAGATTGTCTACAAAATGTATACAATGAATTTCCCATAAAAAATCTGTAGAAAAAATTTTACCCAGACTGCTTTTGAAAGATCAGAAATGATTTTTCCTACAGTTAAGTTTCCTAACAATGTAAATGTTCTCTCACTGATTTGAGAAAGCAAAGTTGCCAATTCGCTCATCAGTGTCTATCACTCTAATTACTTTGTCTTACTCCAGATTTGCAACGTTAAGGCACGAAATAGTGAGCACGTAACATGCAGACAGTGTCGTATGCGCGCGAAATACGTTAGCAGCACTGGCTGTGAATCAGCTGGTCAGCTGTTGTACTGTTGTATTTGTCACTTCACATTAAATGTCATATTAAAAGTTCACTTCTGTGTACAAATATGTTACATTTCTGTACCAATTTATTTCTTTTATGGTAACAAGTTAGAAATAATTTCTGGCTGGTTTTGGCTGATTGCAGGAGAAGACTGCAGCCAGGTAGCAGAGTTTGGCTACTGGGAAGTGGTCCAGCCTAAAGACTTCCAACCAGACGGCTCTGCCTCTCATACAGCCGTTGTGTGGAGAGACTCGTTGTACATAGTTGGAGGAGAATCTTACAACCGCTCGCAGATGATGTATATATACGATTTTAATGGTGAGTGTCCAAAGTAGTCTGAACAGTCTCAATCTAGTGGTAGTCTAGTGGTGAGTCAATGGGTCAGTTGGTACTTGGTAGCGATAAGGACTAAAGTCTGTCAGTAGATGTCTCAGGGTCCTGGTAGGTCAATCAAATCTTATTGTGCATCAAAGTTGTCAGTATAGTTCATGTTGTACTGTTCTGCCCTACTCCTTGCTAAAAGATTCCCACCCTCTTAAAAAATTTAAACTTCTGTAAAAAATCAAGTTATTGTACAAGATTTGAATAAGCCTGTCCTAATAAATTTGACCTTTGAAGGGAAACCTTCTAACTGATAAAAGCAGGGCCGATTTACCGAATAGGCAAGGTAGGCACGTGCCTAGGGCGCGAGGCAATTGGTTTTTTTTTGGGGGCGCCAAAAAATGGGTTAAAAGAAAAAAATGTGGCCGTTTTTCATGCAATCGCGGTAAACTGATAATCCCTTGCGGCCGTGTAGACAGCTTAACAGTCCCCCACAATTGCGGTTGTATAGGTATACGTCATCATCGTCCGTCTCCTGCGATCGCGGCAAAATTCGGACTATTTCCAGCGGACGTGTGGACATAATTAATTATCGTCTTCCTTGATCGCGGCAATATATGAACACATCCCGAGGTCGTGATGAGATTATCATCTTCTTGCGTGATCACGATAAAATTCTGATAATCCCTCACAGCCGTGAAGACATAATGGCCTCCTGCGGTCGTGAGGCATTGTCATCCTCTCCCGCCATTGCGGCAAATGGTAATCATCTCCCGCGGTCGTTTGGAGATCATCATTGTCTTTCGCGAATGAGGAAAAATTCTTATCGTTCCCGTGGTTGAGTGGACATTATCATCGTCTTCTGTGATTGCGGTAAAATTCTGATCATCCCTCGCAGCCGTGTAGAGTAGACATCATTATTGTAACTCCCGCGATCCTGTAGACATAGTAATAGTCTACCACGGTCGTGAAGACATCGTAATCGTCTCCCGCGGTCGTAAAGAGATCGTAATCGTCTCCCGCTGTCGTGGAGACATCGTAATCGTCTCCCGCGGTCATGAAGACATCGTAATCATCTCCCGCGGTCGTGAAGACATCGTAATCATCTCCCGTGGTCGTGAAGACATCGTAATTGTCTCCCGCTATTACGGCAAAATGTTAATAATATCCCGCAGTGATGTAGAGATCGTTATCGTCGTTATCGGCAAATATCTGACTATTTTCCGCGGTTGTGTGGACATTATCTTCGTCTTCTGTGATTGCGGCAATATTCTGATCATCCTTCGCTGCTCTGTAGCTCTTATTGTCGTATTGCGCGATCGCGGTAAAATCATGATTATATCCCGCGGTCGTGTCGATATTATCATCCTCTCGCACGATCACGTCGATCACGGTAAAATCATGATCATATCCCGTGTTCGTTTAGACATTATCATCGTCTCTTGCGATCGATGCAATATTCTGATCATCCTTCACGGCTCTTTAGATCTCATTATCGTATTGCGCGATCGCAGTAAAATCATGATCATATCCCGCGGTCGTTTAGACATTATTGTCGTCTTATGCGATCGCGGCAAAGTTCTGATCATCTCTCGCGGCCTTGTGGAGACATATTATCATCTCCCGTCTCCCGTGGTCACGGAAACGTCACTGTTGTCATGCGCCATCGCGGTAAATTGACAATTCCAGATAGAAATACAAAATTCACACATAATTCCCGGTTCAAAAAACTTCACGCTTAATTCTCGGATTTCCCGGTTGGTGGTCACCCTGTTATATGTATATTGCAAAGGGGCGCTACTATTTTAGTTGTGCCTAGGGCGCTGACATGGTCAAAAACGGGCCTGGATAAAAGAGTTTTTCTTTAATTATTTATATAACTTTTATAAGATGGGGATACTACTAAGGTTTATTTTAATCCAAAAATGAATGGGAGATGAGTGTGGAGTAAGTCAGATCTGTTTGTAGCTTTCTTGACTAACATATTAAAAAGGAGTTGAGTCAGCTTATCTGAGAAGGGCTTATAGCTACAAAGACAAGATTGCAAAACACTTATAACTCATCCCCTAACTTATAACAAATAGCAGCATAGTTTTGTCTTGATTAACTATGGTCTTTAAAATTAAGTGTTACTTGATGGGTCTTAATGTTAAACATTTTTGAGTTGCTCCCAAAATACCCCATTTTGGTTTTCCGGACAAAATTGAAAATTGTAATAAAAAAATGCAATTTCATGCCATATAAGACGTGTGCAGAATTTGGCTTTTCTGGTGTAACTAATTAAAAGATTATTAGGGGGAGTCCAGACTCTTGCCCAACCCTGTACATAAACTTGTGTGTGAGAACAATAACTCGAGTTAAAATTATCTGATTTTAATCAAATTTGTGTAAACCTACGTTTATTAGAAGTTAGAACGAGTTTGCAAACCAGCATCATCGGACCTTGGGAACAAAGTTTTATGAGGTAAAAATTGGTTTTTCACATTTTTGGGTGTCGAGTTAGTGAGGTTTTTATTGTAAATGTTAAACTTAACTTAATCATATTTAAATGGGAATAAGTCTCACATGTTTCAGGAAATTCAATCAGAAGATTGGAAATTCGCTTAATCTAAAGGTTTGCTGCGGTAGGGTATTCTATAATTGGAATATAAAGAGGTATTATCTATAATCTTTGAAATAAATCATGAATATTTTCCAGGAAATGTGTGGGAGACGCCACATCTTGAAAGCCGAAACATTCCAAGACCTCGCTATGGTCATTCAGCTGTGTTATTTGGGGTATGAGCTATGTTACTGAGCAGTAGATGTAAGATTAAATCACATATTTTATACTAGGTACTTTGTGTGACATTATTTACATTACTTTTGATTGAAGATATAATCTGTTCTGTATTTTTATTTGCTTTTCCAACTAAAAGCAAAATAATTGACTAAAAACTCACCATTTTATAATGCAAAACGAGGTAAACAGCGGACAATTTATTTTGAAGATCTAAAAATATTATCACTCCCATCAACTTACACCACACCTTGCAAACATTACTCTTAATTTCAAAAATCTTGAATTTTTTGTGAATGAAAACTGTAACAATAATGATTATAGGGGACTTCACAATGATTTAAAACTGCCCATTCATAGGCTTGCCTCTCTTGAAACGCTTCCACAGTGTCTAGAAAAAAGATGCATAAAAACTATTCAATGATATCAAGTCAAAAGAAACTTCTGAAAAATTCAAAAATAATTTACAAAATTGCTTATTAAAAAAATGTATTTTTAAGTTAACAATTTATTAAATTATGTGTTTGTATGATTTCTTAGCTTATTTTAAATTCTAGCCGTTATGTATATTTATTGTTTGTGGCCATTTCACATGTTTCCCAACTTTGCTAGATTTGTAACGTTTGGTAGAAATAAAAGATTTTACATTTATTTTCTTGTTATTGGATAGTAATCGGTGGATTTTACTTCTTTCTCTTACTTCATGACACTATTTAAAATATTGTTTAGGTTTTAGTAAATTTTTTTTGTTTATACCGGATCCAATTAAATAAAATAACGAAGCATGTTTAATATATTTTTTTTTATTGTTTAGTAGGTATGTTTGATTCATATCAACTTTCTTATTTTAAAATGGTTTTATGCATTTCTTCTTCAATCTGAGTTATTTATTAAATGGTTGAATGGTTTTCACTGTACTTTCTTATACTTTTTCTGTATAAAGTTTACTTATTTTGAGCGACAAGTTTTGTCCTAGAACTTTTTTACCTGTCTTGAAATGTTATTCTTATGGGACACTGGATTCCCTGCACCCTGCACATACTTGTAATTGAATATAAGGAGTTAAACTGTAGCTTGAAAAGTTCATTTTTAAAAATACTATTGCTGATGATGCACTTTAATCTGCATTGCGTTTCAGGATAAGATCTACATGTATGGAGGAGTGAAGTTTGGAGGAGAAGTGTGTCGTGAGCTTTGGGCGTTTGATGTCAGTGCCAAGTCATGGGAGAACATCACAGTGAAAGCTGAGCCCTGCCTACCCAACTCAACCAACCTGTGTGGTGGGTATCATTGCTTGTTCACCACTAAAGGGTATAAGAATCCGTAATTTCCTACAATGAGCACTAGGAATGGATGGGTCCCGAAAGTTTCCCTTCGGAAATTGCGAGTCATATCGGCGATGGTGCTGTAAACGCATGACATGATAAGAAGGTGCTGTGAAAGCATTACATGTCAACGATGGAATCGTGACCGCGAGACATGTTAGCGATGGCGTCGTGACCTCAGGACAGGTTTTACACATTACAAAATGTATGCTTTTTAAAGCTTAACCGCTTTCCTATGGATACCCAAGTCAGGCCTTAACACTCTATCAAGCTTAATGCATTAATAGTCCGTTTAAAAACCTGTTAGTGGATAGTTAGATGTATTTTATAATGGGACTGATTTTTCACAGTTAAAATGCACCAAATAAGAACTTAATAGTCACAAGTTTTTTTTTATACCCATTATTGGTTTTGGTGAATCAGTGCCAAAAAGGCTTAAAATTGATTTTTTGCTATTTATTGTATATCTACAATAATGTTATGAAAGATTTTTGAAACAAACTGTTTTTTGCAAGGAGAAATCATCCTGTCCTGAAAATCGCGAAGGAAATAAAATTCTAGTGATGGACGAGACTAGATTTTTCACTTCAAGACGAGACAAGATTTTTTTAATTCCGGCGGGACGGGATTTTTTTCAGACGAGATTTTATGAAAAGTTATAAAAAAAATTTATATCTACTTTTTAAGTTCAGAAATATTTACCAAGTTTTAAAAACTTGGCAAAAAACAGACAAAAATATTTGAAATCTTTTATTTCAAAACATTAATAAAAATATCAGTATATAAAGAAAATAGTAATAAGGCCTAACTTATTAAAAATAACTCTTCGGCTAGCTAATTTAAATCATTGTATATTTGTAAAATTTACAACTAAAGAAAACTTTTTTCAGGTCCCATGCATTCGGCTGGTCACACAGCTACTCTAGTCACAAACAAACAAAAGAAGTCTGAGCGAATGGTGGTTATCTTTGGGCATTCTCCTATCTACGGCTACCTCAATACTGTGCAGGAATATCACTTTGGTGAGTTTGATCGAAAGTTATCACATTTATACTACATCAATATTATTAAAAAAATTTAATTCCAAAACCTTACTTTTAATTAAATATTATACTACAATCTGTTTACTTGTAATTAATTATTTTTTAACTAAGATTTTTATCTCTGATTCATTTTTGCTCAATACTGAGTGTTAGTTAGTCATAAGTAATTTATCTTAAAGTCAAGTGCAAAAATTTAGAAGCATTGCTTGAAAACTCTCGTTTAGGAAAAATGTCATTATTCTGGGATAAAGGCCCTCTACATCAGCAATGTTTTGAACGCTTATATTATGTAGGTACTCGTGTGTGGAGCATCGTACAAACTACAGGGTTCCCAGTGAAGGGAGGCTACGGACACAGTGCAGCCTGGGACTCTATCACTCAGAGGATATACGTGTACGGAGGTCTCGTGTATGACTCCAATGCCACACCTGCTCTCTCGCAATCACTCTACGCCTACGAACCTTTCACTCATGTCTGGTGAGTGCAATAGACTACAGTATCAGTTGGAGAATATATTTTTATTGAGGTGTAGCATATGACTTCCTCCACACCTGCTCTCCCTCAATCACTATACGCCTACTGGCATTTATATTTAGATCGAAATCATAAACATTCAATTGGCCATTGTAGACTTAAATAAAAATAAAAAAATCACTTTTAATGATTTTGTAATTACCTTTTAATTACTTTGGGCTAGGTAGCTGTTAAAAGTGGAATTGATAACAAAAAACTATTACAATTACTATATCTTTATTGACACCGACATTTTGAAATACGGCAGTTAGTGTAAGATTATTTTGTCGTACAAGGTTGGCAACACTCTGTGCAGTGGGCACGGCCGGGTTAGCGACTTCCAGTGTTAGCGAATTCCGCCGCCGGACAAAATCGAGTTAGCAGGTTCCAGAGTCAGCTAATTCCTTTGTCTCCTTACGTAATTTTTAATTGAGAAATCAATCTTTGATTCTAGAATTAAAAATGGAATGAATTTAAACCATTAGGCTCATATTTTCAGGCGGATGCTGACACCAGCCACTAGTGCCAGGTTCCTACACACGGCCAGTTTCCTCAATGGCCTCATGCTTGTGTTTGGTGGCAACACACACAATGACACAGCTCACTCCCACGGTGCCAAGTGTTACTCCCATGACTTCCTGGCGTATGATGTCACCTGTGACTCATGGTCCACCCTGGCCGTTCCTGCGGAGCTGAGGGCTGATCTGGCTAGGTTCGGACAGTCTGCTGCTGTATTTGAGAACAGCCTCTACATCTACGGAGGGTTCGACGGACAGATGCTGAATGATATGTTGAGGTAAGGTTAGGTTAGCATTAATATGGTAGTTAGATAATAACAAAGGTTAAAGCTTTTTTTTTAGGTATGGGTCAGTTTTTAAAGTCCCTTGTTTTACAGGTTTTTAGCAAAAAACCCCAAACTAAGAGTATGGTTTTGTTAACAGGTATACCCCTGGAGTGTGCTCAGCTCTGACCAACCCTGCCCAGTGTGTCAAGGCCACTGTGGGAGTCAAGTGTGTGTGGCACAAGGAGCACAGCCGCTGTGTGCCTCTCAGTTCTGTCCCTCCACTAATCCTCAATGAGTTAGACAAATCTATCATCATGTAAGTATGGTCAAAATCAATAAGATATGAGTGAGGTCCAATGATGTTTTATTCCGCTTTGTATTGCAATATCTAGTAAATCAATTATATATTTGCAAATTTTCACTGAATGACTGGCTAGAAGAACTATATTTCACTAAATAGTAAATATACAACCTAGAATTATAAAATTTGACATAAAGGGTCCACGTAAGGTGTAGATATGCAATAAGCCAGGGTTTTACAAAATTCAAAATCCAAGAGGTTGTAGGGAGGGAAGCTTCCAGTTCCAGTATAATTCTACAATGATCAAAAAATTACTGCTAGAGGATAAATAGTTGGTGTTGCTCTGTTTACAATCTTAAATTTAAACTACATATTAAAAGAATATTGCTATAACAATTTTAAAAATATCAAGATAATAATTTAGGGTTTTTAAAAAACTTGGATTTTACTTTTTAAAAGTTTTTTTCCAATAGCGTGAACAGAAAATAAACTTCTCAAAAAAAGTTTTTTTTCTTCTTTGTACCCAAATGCATCTTCTCCACATTAAAGAAACTTTAATTTTAAAATATACCGGATCTTGGGCTGGATCCGGTTTCGATGGATCCGATTTTTTCCGATTTTCCCCGATTTTTTTACTAACACAAAGCTGTCTGTATCCATGTAAAATACCGATTTTTTCCCAATTATTTACTCAATAACACGGTGCTGCATATTACGACGTCAATAACCTCTATAGTTAGGCAATGTCACAGTACTGTATATTACGACGCCAATAACCTCTATGGTTGTGCAATGTCACAGTACTGTATATTACGACATCAATAACCTGTATGGCTGGGCAATGTCACAGTACTGTATATTTCGACGTTAATAACCTGTATGGTTGGGCAATGTCACAGTACAGTAGAGTCCCGCAAACTCGGCTCTCGATAACCCGGCAGTCTGGATAACTCGGCCATCACCTGGCTTAGAAAATTAGTGATATTTTGAGTCCGTGTTAAAAATGGACTCAAGCCAGCTCAAGCAAATCATTCGCAACTCATACCAAGGAATTGTTGTACTATATCTGATGACTTAATACTGACTTGTATTATAAATATAAATAAAAAAGGCGGTTAAAAAGCTTAAAAAATTGTATTTTTCTTATTTTAAACCCTTGTTCCTGATAACCCGGCATTTCACAAACTCGGCATCCTTCCAGTCCACATTACGCCGAGTTTGCAGGACTCTACTACTGTATATTACGACGTCAATAACCTGTATGCTAACCATACAGGTACATTGCCTAACCATACAGGTTATTGACGTCGTAATATATAGTACTGTGACATTGCCCAACCATAGAGGTTATTGACATCATAATATACAGTACTGTGACATTGCCTAACCAAACAGGTAATTGATGTCGTAATATACAGTACTGTGACATTGCCTAACCATACAGGTTATTGACGTCGTAATATACAGTACTGTGACATTGCCTAACCATACAGGTTATTGACGTCGTAATATACAGTACTGTGACATTGCCTAACCATAGAGGTTATTGACATCGTAATATACAGTACTGTGACATTGTCCATCCATACAGGTTATTGACGTTGTAATATACAGTACTGTGACATTGCCCAACCATACAGGTTATTGACGTCATAATATACAGTACTGTGATATTGCCCAGCCATACAGGTTATTGATGTCGTAATATACAGTACTGTGATATTGCACAACCATAGAGGTTATTGGCGTCATAATATACAGTACTGTGACATTGCCTAACCATACAGGTTATTGACGTCGTAATATACAGTACTGTGACATTGCCTAACCATACAGGTTATTGACGTCCTAATATACAGTACTGTGACATTGTCCATCCATACAGGTTATTGACGTCAATAACCTCTATGGTTAGTCAATGTTACAGTATATGCCTCATAATTCTATTCTAAAAAATATATTCTCAAATCCCAATCTTTACTTAAGATTCGGTTGATTCGAGATCCGGATTCGACACCATACAGGTTATTGACGTCGTAATATATAGTACTGTGACATTGCCCAACTAATATCATCAACTAATAGTTTTATTGTAAGATTTGGAAAAGTTTTAGTGTCCCTAAAAATTAGGGATTATTGGCTCAACTGGAGATTACTCTATATATAAGATATATTAACCTTTAAACTTTACCAATTTAATTTTAAACAGTATGATTTAAATTGGCATTCTGTTAATTAAATTTTTTTTAACAAGCCCTTATGACAGTGTGTATCTGGATTTTTCAAGATCCGGATCCGGTACCGACATTTTCTTGGATCCGCCCATCACTAGTATACACATATATTATATAACTTTTTACAACACAAACTAATACTGTACAGTTTTAAATTTTTTCGGTTCTCCGTTTGTTATTATATTTGCCCCAAAAACTTATAAAAAAAAATATTTTCCTAACATGTTATATTTTTCTATGTAGGCAATTAGATTGTCTTCAAAATGTATATAATGAATTTCCCATAAAAAATCTGTAGAAAAAAAAATACCGAGGCCGCTTTTGAAATTAAAAAAAAAAGTTTATTTTTTTCACTTTTCCGAAAAAATACACTATCTAAATCATTATTCTATTACTAATAGGGATGGACGGGTCCCGAAATTTCGGGAAATTTTCGGGAAAAAAATATTCCCGATTTTCGGGACGGGATTACATTTGATTCGGGAATTTTTCGGAACGGGATTTGGTCCGATCGGCGGCGATTTTGCCGCTTCGCGAGTGACGATAACGCCGCTATCGCGAGAGATGTTCCGCGAACGCAGGAGGCGAAGTCATTTCGACGATCGGGCCGTGACCGCGTAGTCATACCGACGATCGCGCCATGACCGCGGAGTCATACCGACGATCGCGCCGTGACCGCGGAGTCATACCGACTATCGCGCCGTGACCGCGGAGTCATACCGACGATCGCGCAGCGACCGCGAGTTATACCGACGATCGTGCTGTAACCGCGGAGTCATACCGACGATCATGCCGTGATCGCGAGTCATACCGACGATAATGCCGTGATCGCGAGTCATACCGACGATCATGCCGTGATCGAGAGTCATACCGACGATCATGCCGTGATCGCGAGTCATACCGACGATCATGCCGTGATCGCGAGTCATACCGACGATTACCCCGTGATCGCGAGTCATACCGACGATTACCCCGTGATCGCGAGTCATACCGACGATTACCCCGTGACCGCGGAGTCATACCGACAATCGTGCTGTGACCGCGGAGTCATGCCGACGATCATGCCGTGATCGCAAGTCATACCGACGATCACCCCGTGACCGCGGAGTCTAAACGACGATCGCGCCGTGGCCGCGAGTCATACCGATGATCATGTCGTGAACGCGATTCATACCGACGATTACCCCGTGATCGCGAGTCATACCGACGATCACCCCGTGACCGCGGAGTCTACACGACGATCGCGCCGTGGCCGCGAGTCATACCGACGATTACCCCGTGATCGCGAGTCATACCGATGATTACCCCGTGACCGCGGAGTCATGCCGTGATCGCGAGTCATACCGACGATCATGTTGTGATCGCGATTCATACCGACGATTACCCCGTGATCGCGAGTCATACCGACGATCACCCCGTGACCGCGGAGTCAAAACGACGATCGCGCCGTGCCCGCGGAGTCATACCGACGCTCATGCCGTGATCGCGAGTCATACCGACGATCGCGCCGTGACCGCTGAGTCATACTGACGATTACCCCGTGATCGCGAGTCATGCCGGCGATCACCCCGTGACCGCGGAGTCTAAACGACGATCGCGCCGTGGCGTCATACCGACGATCATGCCGTGACCCTGAGTCATACCGACGATCACGCCGTGACCGCGGGGAGTTATAACGATGATCGCGCTGTGACCGCGAGTCATACCGACGATCACCTTGTGATCACGGTCATTTTGACGATCGCACCGTGACCGCGAGTCACAAGTTTCTATAGGTACCTGTAGATTGTTGTAACCAAACATTTTTTTGTTTTTCATGATCAGTGCCACAAACGGTAAAAATTGATTTCTTTTGTCTTTTTTGGTAACTGAAATACTCAATACTTTCTTTCTATGCACAGGAAAAAATCCCGTCCCGTCCCGTCCCGAAAATCGGGAAGGAAATAAAAATCCCGTCCCGTCCCGTCCCGAACTAAAAATTCAATCCCGTCCATCCCTAATTACTAATTTATAGATTATCCTGTTCTTCCTGAACAAAATGAATATGAGGTTGGCTAGGTGTAAAGATCATCAACCGGTCTGCAAAATCGCCCAAATGGGTTGGCCATTCCCCACTTCTAACATTGGCCACTGCTAGGGTTAAGTTTGTCATCTGCATAAAGAATTATTTTGCTATGCCTTTGATTACTAGTGTTTGGTTTAAACCGTTGATGTAGATTGTGAACAATAAGGATCCCAAAATTGACCCTTGAGGTACACCTCTTTATATTTAAGTTTTGATGTTGTTATTTTTGTTGTACTGTTTTTGTGGGAGTGTGTAATTTCTACATATTGAGCTCTGTTTTCTATATATGATTGAAAGTAGAAACCAATTATAAGCAATTTTGGTAATTCCCACTTTCTTTAGAATTTCCAACAGCTTACTGTGGCAAACACTGTCAAATGATTGTTTAAGGTCCATAAAGATGCCAATACATGTTTCACCTTTATCTATTGAATTTAGAATGTTTTCCACAAATTCTGCTGTTGCAGTCCCAGTTGATCTCCCTTTGCTGCTGAGATTCATCTAACAAACCCCTTGTCTCAAAATATCCCAATAGCCTTTTGTGCATGGCTCTCTCATAGATTTTTGAGAATGTTGGAAGCAACAATAAGGGCTGATAATTTGAAATTAGTTTCAAATCTGGCAAATCATTCGCTCTTCCCTTCTGTGATCTCAGTTGCACATTTGATTATGTCCACATGACATCCTGCTCAGTAAACTGAAGTCATATGGAGTTACAGGAATTGAGCTTTTAAAAATTGTTTAAGCTTTTAAACATAAGGTGAATTGTGTCTCTGGGAGGAAGGGCAAATCCTGAAAGAATTGAGGCCATTCACTGTGTTTGTCGGGGGCCTCTACTTTTCCTGATACTCATCAATAACGTAGGGGTTGATAGTCAGGGGCTGCTATTCGCAGATGACTCAAAATTGGTGACAAGTGGATGTAAAGAGAGAAACAAGTGCCCAGCTTGAAACTAAAATTGAATGGTTTGCTTCTAAGATGTTAAAACTAATTGAAAACAAGACTCAACTCCTGATTTGTACTCTCGGACGTTGAATTTCATCCATAGAAAACCTTCCGGTAAAACTGCTGTATTCCTGGTTGGATCAAAAGCTAAACTGGGACCACCACGTAGCTCAAACCTGTCAAGGTTGGCTGAAGCTGTCAAGGGTTGTCTTCCTTCTTAGAAAGCTGTGTAGTATGGTCACTGTGGTGTTGATATTATATGGTCAGAGACAAAGCATCCAAGTATTCAATTAATCATTAGATGCCAGGTTAATGGGTGGCTACTTAAATTAAAATTGTATTATCTCTTTTAAAATGTCTTACTGATTTCTTAATATTACTTCTGTACTCATGATCTGGTATGTAATGTTACAGCAAGTGTCCAGAGGTGGGTAGAGAGTCAGTGCGCACAGGACTGTTGACCTGTCAGTCCCTGGGTGATTGTACATCTTGTGTGCACACCTCCCTCATGTGTGGCTGATGCCCTGCCTCCAACACTTGTACTCATGATCTGGTATGTAATGTTACAGCAAGTGCCCAGAGGTGGGTAGAGAGTCAGTGCGCACAGGACTGTTGACCTGTCAGTCCCTGGGTGATTGTACATCTTGTGTGCACACCTCCCTCATGTGTGGCTGGTGCCCTGCCTCCAACACTTGTACTCATGATCTGGTATGTAATGTTACAGCAAGTGCCCAGAGGTGGGTAGAGAGTCAGTGCGCACAGGACTGTTGACCTGTCAGTCCCTGGGTGATTGTACATCTTGTGTGCACACCTCCCTCATGTGTGGCTGGTGCCCTGCCTCCAACACTTGTACTCATGATCTTGTATGAAATGTTACAGCAAGTGCCCAGAGGTGGGTAGAGAGTCAGTGCGCACAGGACTGTTGACCTGTCAGTCCCTGGGTGATTGTACATCTTGTGTGCACACCTCCCTCATGTGTGGCTGGTGCCCTGCCTCCAACACTTGTACTCATGAGGAGAGATGCAAAGAGCACATCCCCAATACCCCAGGATACACCACTGTTAGGGTATGAATATTTCACTGTCCGCTTTTGTTTCTCTTATTTCTTGGAAATATCGGTTTTTAGTTATGACCAGTTTTAAAATGTTAGGTACCTTAATGTGTCAACCAACTATCTGACGGACCCTTATATTTTCAGGTCGGGGTCAAGCCAACAGTTAGCACGAGGGATTGGTTTGGGCCAGGAATAATTTTTGGGCTTAACTCAGGCCGGGTCAAGTCGAGCCTTTATTTTTCAAAAAGTGACAATTCCTCAGCGACTGCGTGTAATGCATACAATTTTGCTGTGAGCGCAGAAGACGTTCACAATTTTGCCGTGACTGAGGTAGATGTTCACGATTTTGGTCAAGACCACAGATGATGTTCATGAGTTCGCTTTGAATGCATGAAAAGAAAAAAGGTTCACAAATTTGCTGTGACTGTGGCAGATGTACTTGATTTCTCCAAGGAAGATGTTCACGATTTTTCTGTGACTTCAAAAGATGTTCATGATTTTACCGCAATATTGGAGAGACAATGTACAATTTTATGTATTAACTGATTATATGTATTAACTGATTTAATGTATAAACTGATATTACAAATATTATTTTTTTAATCAATATTTCCTAAACTACTCGATTTTGACCTGAGATTAGTGGGCCAAAAATGTTGACCTGACTTAAAGTAAAAATGTCTGGCCTGCAGACCCTATTTTAAATCTGGCTTTGGTGGTTTCTTTCCCGATAAAATAATTTGATCAGATTGTTCCTCAACACTCGATTCCTGTTAATATTTCAGCCGGTGACATCGGAGCAAGAGTGTGGTGCTGTGTCCCAGGAGGCTATATGTAGTCAGTTACACTCCTGTCAGGCCTGTGCAGCTCATCCTTTGTGTCACTGGCACTACGGGGGTCCTTGCAAACCTGCGACAAACCTCACCCTGGAGGACCAACAGGTACTAAAGCTCCAGCCCTTAACTATATGCAAACAAAACCCAACAAAATGGCTAAAAGCAAAAGGGTTTACTCGTGCTGCATTCTAGGATACATGTCTATAAATAATCACTAGTGTGTCTTATACATATCTGATGGATGAGGTTAAGACATTGTCTCTAGCCAGGAGACAACTCTAAAAATTGAGGTTTGAATTCAGTCTAAAGTAGTGTTGTGCGTCTCATGAGGAGTTTACTTGCCTGTGTCAGAGTTGATGACCTAAGTTGAGTGGAGGATGACTCTGACGGAAGTTGTCAAACTGGGGAGATTCTTTGGGAGTTATACTTATGATTAGACAGTTTCCTACTTTTTACCCATCCAGCGTAGCTTGTTAGCAAAGTTTTGTTTGGTATGAAGGCTATTGTTTTTATAAAATGTCACAGATGAGATAATTAAATCAATATAAAATTCATGAAGATTAATAGTATCTAGTATGTATTTAGAGAATTAATATAGCCTGAGTGTTAACACCTCAGGCAATATTCTTCACTTCAGTAAAACTATTCTTGCTTAACACATTCACTGCTGAAAACCTTTACACAGGCGCTCCTAAACTGCGGCGAGGCCCGGGCAGAGCCCCGGCGCGCTAACTGAATCAGTGATCTGATCGCTATTGGCATTGAAATATCTCAGTAAGACGAATCACAGTGATGGTTGTGAAGAATCACAGTAAAACAGTGGTGGTTGTTCTGCGTTACCCCGAAAGTGGACGTAGTTCACTGAAACCCCCAAATGTAGCAGCACTGCCTGGATCAATAACCAGAGTCTTTGTAATATGGCTCGAATAGAGAAAATCCCCGAAAACAGGACAAAAGCATTGCCAGAAGGGATTTGACGGGAAATTTTAGTACTAACCTACACCAGAATGTCCAGAATAAAGCTTACATTCTAAGCTACAGGCTGGCAACGATTATAACATTCGCTGGCAATGGCTGAGCTCACATTGAAGCAAGGTTTTTGGCATTGGAGAAGGACGACATTTCCCGCCCCGCGCTAGTGGTGCCGGTTCCGCGGGCGAGAATTCCCTCCCCTTGCATTGAACGTGTTAAGCTGGTCAAGATGTGGTTAAATAAAACTAAAAACATCTTATTTCCTAATTTATTCATGGAATAATTAGTTTGATTTGTGTTTAACTGTATTGTAGGAACCAACAATCTGTCCCAGTAGCTGTGCCCAGCTAACATCATGTCTAAACTGTACTGTAGAGGAATGCATCTGGTGTCAGAACGAAGAGAGATGTGTAGACAAGACAGCGTACACTGCAAGCTTCCCCTACGGACAGTGTAGAGAATGGACAACCCACCAGGCACGGTGCAGAGCAACTGCAGGTAAAGTACAGTCGGTGGTTGTTGTAAAGCCATACACACATTTTATTTCTAATTGGTTCTAGTGTACCCGATTCGATTTCTTTTAACATACTGATTCAAAATATTATCTCTCTACATTATTCAAATAGTGTGTATGATGTAATGAAGGCAATATCACAGATCTAGGGGATTAACAGTTGTATAATATTTTGTAATTGTTTCAGGTCGGTCGCAGTGTAACTTCTTTCGCACATGTTTCCAATGTAGGGATGACCCAGAGTGTGGATGGTGTGATGATGGAAGTGGTACTGGTCTAGGAGATTGTCTACCAGGTGGTAACACTGGACCTCATCTACCCCACTCCTGTCCCTCAGACAAGTGGTTCTTCACCTGCTGTCCTAGTGAGTTTTTTTATTTTCTTTCTCCGTAACAATTAGGCGCATAATAATGCTTCAATATACTAAATTATTTGTTATTTTTAGCTCTACAAAATGGTTTAAAAAGAAATTGTGAATTTTTGTGTTTTTAGGGTCAAAAATGGGAAAAACCTATTTTTACCCCATAAAACCCCCCATAAACCCCCGTTCCCATAGTCCGATCATGCTGGTTCGCAAACTCATTCAAGTTTATCCCGCCTTACACCTTCAAACCAAATTTTATCAAAATCGGACAAAAATTACTCAATTTATCGTGCGGATGGACATATATACTTTTGTGCCCACCCGGAGAGGCAGTCACTGCGCTGGTAATTTACTCGGTGTGGCAGTCACCCGCCCGAAAGCCAGTCAGCTCTCCCATAAGCCAGTCAGGTATGGCTTCCCGTGCACTTTATACGTTTGAAAACAGCTTAACCGGTGCTGCTGCCTGTGTCGATAAGCGTAACTGCAATACCAATGCGGAGACTGTCTCATCGTGTGTTCTATTGTGGAGTAGTGTAGCCAGTACGGCACCCTCCTTGCCTACTTTGTAGCGGTAACACCCAGCGGTCGGTAACCTTCGCTTACTCCTTGTTACTATTTATGTTGGGATAGTGATTAACATTAACTACGTGTTAATGTTTAAACGTGTTCATATTCCAAATAAAGATAATGCACCTCTAATAAGGAACTACGAATATTAATTAATTATAAATGGTTGAATCTTAAAAACCTACCCGGTCATCATCCCATATTTTAAGTTTTCTTTTTTACACCTTCAGTAGAAATTTTAGTCAATATCTCCTTTATTGACGTACAATATTTACAGTGTGTCCACGGACCGGGAAGATCGGGAATTATACAGATTTTCTTTATCTCGGGAAATACACGTGAATCTTCTGCGAGATACGGAAACTATTTTTTTACTCTATTGCGTAACGCGAAGGAGGAACTATTACATGTGGCAACGATATTAATCTATCTGATAAGAATAACCACGAAACTACATTCGATAGATAAAGATGTTTATAATAATTTTAATTTTACAAACAAACCATTACAGGAATTCTATTTTGGGACGGATGAAAGATAAGGAAGCAACAAAAAGTGGTCACGAGTACAAATACGGGGGGGGGGGGGGGGGGGGGGGGTAAACCATGACAAACGCCAGAAACGATTATTTGTTTACTTTTCATATTCCTTATCAAATCTCTCTCTCTCTTTCTCTTCCTCCCCCCCCCCCTCTCTCTCTCTCACTCCCCCCCCCCCTCTCTCTCTCTCACTCCCCCCCCTCTCTCTCTAACGATGTACAGTTTGTGGACTTTACTATTTAAGTTTCCCTGCAATTATTTCAGTTCAATCCTATACCTATCCTTATGGTTTCCTTTCTATTGTTTTTTAAAAATAAATAGTAAAGCTGGCTAAACTATTTTTTTATTTTGTTTTCTTGAAAACAAACACTCTTTACCATCCAGTATCCTGCAGAGTAAAATGTTTAACACTGTGTTTATAAAAATTGAATGGCCTCACAATTTCGTGTTTTATTTTTTTTTTTAGTAATAGTAACTTGGATATTTATATATACCAATAAGTGCTGCAAGCTGTAATGAATGCTTCTGATTAATATCAAAATAAGTTATGAATTATTTTTTGATAATACATCGGTCATTGAATACCAACCATAATGTAATGGGGTTTTCTATTTGTAACTTTAACTTGCAAATACATTAGAACCTCGCTCAACTGGGATCGGATCATATGATGCCTATATATTATATACGGTAACCTCAGAAATCCCAAGAAAATGTTTTATGAATTGTGTTTTTCAGTCTAATATTTCGATATGAACTATATATCTATTTACGGAAATTTTTATCTGCAGTAGGTTCCCCATTATTGAAACATTACAGTTCATTTGACAAAAATAAGATGGAAGCAAAACGGAGAAATATTGACCAGTAGCTTCAAGGTCAAGCTATACGCTCGCACCTACAGACTGACAATCTTGCACTGACACTGACATACTGACAATCGTCTGTTCCTGTCTGCTGTCACAACACTACAACATTTTGTGGTTGGGTCGTTGGGTGATTGTAACCATGACAACTTGTGGATGGAGAGAAACCAAAGAAAGAATAGAACAAAGAGAAATAATAAGAGGTGTTTTACAACATTGTTATCTTTATCTTATTTTTATCACTGTTGTTATTACCAGAAAGACTTAAGTACAGTACTATGATTTTATAATGTTTTATGAGTTATTTAATATTTTTATCACCATACTTTTGTTCTGAAACATCATGTAGTAGTAGCCTATGATGACTACGGTATCAGTAGTCTACTAGTCTAGATTTCCTTTTGTTTTGTTCTTTACGTGTTTTATTGCTGTACAGTAAGCAAGTTTTGTTTTGTTTGAGAAAGCACACGGTGTAGTTTTTATTACTGAACCAAGGTTAATGACATAACATATCATGGTTGCGCAATACCTATTGTATTTTGACTATGTAAAATGCAAATTTATAATCACGTTAACATCCATTTTTACAGAGTGTCCCGGAACGGCATTGTTCCTGAGTAAGCACATATCTAAATATCATACTTAAATTTTCCAGAAGTCCGTAGTTACTCAAACAGCTAAAGAATTTTGGGCCTAAATCATTTGAAACCTGTATATAACATATTTTTGGTCGAGTTTTCGACCACTGGACGACCACTAGTTAAATATAATTGTATTACAACAATCTTTACAGTAAGCAATAAGCTTGAATCGGACTTATCTGCCTTCAGCTAATCCATCATATGATAGTACGTTAGAGAGTATGCCCATGCTGAAGTTTTACTTATACTTGAAGAATGACTTAATTTAGTACCAAGAAATAAATCACACCTCTTTCATACACTGTACTTTGCTGTTTTAATGCTTTGTAGCGGACATATTTTTATCCAGTGGCGGGTGTTTGGTGTTTTGAATAAGAATACTGAATGGCTCGTTTTAAGATCGTATCATTACGAACCGTATCGTTTTAAGATTTTCTTACACGAGAAATACATTTTCCATTTTTAAATTTCTCAGGTACAAATTTTATGAAATAACATTATGGCATTGTTTGACAATAATATTGTAGCCTACTTAGGAACTGAAATAAAATTCAGGAGGTCAGTTATCAAACATACAATATTAGCCTTAAATAACGTTAAGTATTACTAATTGACGTTAATCAAAACCAGTAGTCAATATTTAGGTTTGTTGCACTAGATTTAGACACTTTACTTTATTTTGGTAAATAATTTAATTAAAATAATTAAAATATAAATAATTAAAATTATTTTAATTACGTTACTGATCAAAAACGCAAACTGCGGACTTGCATTTGCTATTTTATATTCAGGTCGGATTTATTTAAAACTAAACAAATACAAACTCATTTGTGGCCCAAAAATCCCCCTCTTCCAAGTAAGGCTATAACGGCACATTACAAAACGAGAAAGTTGAAATTCTCAGAACTCATCTGAATGTTCGTCTACCCCTTTGCGCATCCCTTGCAGTGATTCAATGAATGGTGTCAGACACCGACCAGCTTGTCGTGTGCTCGTGTAATGTTCGAGTGCTCGAAACTGTGCAAATTTGACTAGTAGAGTAGCAGTCATCTTCTATAGAAATAAAATTACAGCTTTGTATGTCCATTGCGTAGAATCATGCAGTTTTTCGTTATTTTTACATTTCATAGCCTAAGAGAGCCGAAACGAGTATCATCTCAATTTCTGTCTGTCTGTCTTTCTGTCGTTCTGTATGTACCGACAAAATGTAAATTTACGCTGTCTATTCCGAGAAAACTAGATTACGGTATGCTATAGTATAAACATCTACCATATCCATAATAATGTTCTACCACTGCACCTAAACAGCAGAAAAAAGTAAATCACCAAAGATTCGCACAATATGAAAAATTATTTATAAATCAAAAACATAAGCATAACTGTAAACAATCCTATTTTGTCTCTTCTAATTGTGTATCAAAGGTTTTTGTTGCGGCTTGGTTCAAATTAGCTGTTGTCGTAAATGAAAAAAATAATAATAGTGCTGCACTCTAATGGTAAACACTATAAATCCTTTATGCTGTTGAATATCATAGAACCAACTTGTGTAATTGAAACAGCAGGTAAAATTCTTTAATTGATTTCAAATATGAATACTGATAAGGTTAACATGGGAATTCCCAGTGCCACTAGGGTGGAGCCCGAAAGGATCTTTGAGATAAGAATATGTATATATGTTAATCTAGAATGTGAGCTATCTTCATGTCGAATTCCAGCTCAATCTGACCAGTAATTAATGCGTAATTGAACTTCAAACAAACAATATTAGTAAGATTAGTAAGATAAGATGTATTAATTCAATATTGATTACTAGCTGTGTGCCCGTTCTACGAACGGGGATCTTATAGTGGTCAGTAGAAACCTTCCTACAGTATATAAAGAACAGCAGTTGGTTTGCATATTTTCAGATATACTGGCCAAACCATTATATTGAAACAAATACAGTATCTGACAGTTTCAAGTAAACAAAATGCGTAATAGATCTATGTGGTGTACACTGTTATATCTGACGGCACAAACAACCAAATGATTATTCCATTGTTTAATTCGATATATCATTTGTATTTGACATGTCGTTTGGTTAGTTAGGTAAGGTTAACCTAACCAAACGACATAAAGTTAAAACTATACCTCAACCTCGCCATTAAACATTCAGGTTGGAAATTTCACTATCAAAGGTGCTCTTTTCCTGTCCGTACGGAACACTGAGTAATATGCGCTACCAACTTATGAATAATTGTTTAGGCCTACAAACCCAAGAGATGGGCAATTGCTCTATTGGCTGTATTGTCCAGCGACCAGCACATAGCGTTGAGAAGACACATTGGAAAAGCGATTTGAGCATAATCCGTAAACCTCTGTTACAATCACCCACTGCAGTTGCCACTGTACACTTTACACAACCACCATTCAAGTGCCGTCAATGAGTTGAAACCTTTTGTGTAAGCTATTGGTAACGCTTATGTAAAAAATATAAGTTTCCCAGCCATATAGAACACTGATTCACGGTCTTTTCCCCGGTTATCAAAACTCAATAAAAATGTTATACACAAAGAAGCTATTTTTTCATTTACGGTTACCCTAAACATTATTGCACTTGCGATTAATTAAATCCGTTATGTAAGGAAAGACGGTTTTAATCCAACTTGGTTTGGATTTGCTTTTGAAACGTGATCGGAAATAATTGCGGTATTTGTAAACAACATTCAATGTAAACATATCAGTGACAGCTATAGAAAACTAAACTTGATCCGAACAGCTGTTCGCTATTTCATAGATGATTATGTGATAAACATTGTGAGAGAACTTGACAAAAATCACACAATAGTATATTTCGTACCAAGGGCCGAAAATGAGGTTTTGCCGGCTCGAGACAGTTTTTAAGTTCGAGACGAAGTCGAGAACTTAAATCGATCGAGAGCTGCAAAACCATTTCGGTCCGTGGTACGAACGCTATTTTTCACCACACTATACCCTATTACCACTATTCACCACTATAATAATGCACACTGATCGTCAACACAACTACAACTTTAAGGTTAAGAAATAACTTGAGGCATAAGCAAAAATATAAATAAATAGTTGCTAGGCAACGGTGACAATAACACAATTCTATATTGCAATGCTATGGATTTTGATTGTGTATTTAAAACGCATTCATGTTCTAAGTAAGTAAGCGGACAACTGATTTTGCGGCCCCGGCCTGTAAAAACCTGCTCGGTCCCCAAATTGGCGACAGCTGGCATTGCCAGCAAAACGTAACTTTCAGCCACCAATTTACGTATGTAATACAGCCAAAAACATCATAGTGTGGTGAAAAATTGGGTTATTAAACGTCCGTAAGTTTTTTTACAAAGTAGTGAGGCCATATGTAGACACTTTCGCCAATCCAGTTAACACCTTAAAATGATTTGGATTTTGATAGGTACTCTTGTTTTTCATGAGAGGACAGAAATTAAGATGAGACTTGTTTCGGATTCTTGAATGTATAAAACGTAAAAAAAACCTAAAAATTGATGATTCTGAGCAATGTACAGACAAAAGTTTAATTTTATTTATATAGATTTGTACCTCTGGTGATTTTAATTAGAAATTTATTGAAGTAAATAAAGAACAATTTACAAATCATCCGACCAGTGTTTTTATTTAAAAAGTACGTAGGCCTATTTGATTGGCCTTGTTTTCTGAACTAAAATATCTATTTTCTGATATATTTTGAGTTCCTGGTTTCGAAACATAATTTGGCAAAACAATTATTTATTCATTAAACAACTTGATCGGATAACAATTTCTTAACATTGGAGGACAATTTTAATCATAAAAAACTTTTGAATCCTAATAAACCTAGCTGCTGTACCCGTGTTTTGCATCGGAGAGGATTTTGAAGAGAAAAAGTTTGATACACGTCACATATATCAAATCCCACTCCAAACACGTCATGTTAATACGTTTACTTCCTTAAATTAAGAAAGTCACAATCTCCAATTAACAGGCTCGTAGCAAAAATTAAAAGTTTCACAATTCGAATAGTTTTTACCTTTTGGACCGTAAAATCAAAGCACTGCATTTACAGCTGACTTCGTTTATCATTCTGTTATCTACATTCTTCAAAAATGTAAACATTGTGAAAATTTTAAATCCCATAGGGCGTAACTCAAAGAAAACACGTTAAAAGAAATCTTTATATGTGTTAACCAGGTACAGGGCTACCTCTTGAATTTATATAGATAATAAATCGAAAAATAAAGAAAATATAAGTTGATTGATTATTGGCCGTTATGAGATAAACAGTCACGAAACATGATTTGATTAAGTAACCACACATCACTGAGTCTATATCTTCATTCTCACGTAAAAATCGCTTAGATTGTGGCTATATATAATAGGGAAGTAAGATTTCACTGTACAACGAGCTCAGAAAGCTCGAGAACCAGCAATAAGTTGGAAATAACCGGCCGAACCTTTAACCATAGTGGCTCGCTAGTCGCTACCCCAGGTCGGTCGGTATCGGCCCATCAATGGAACCCGTTAGGTTCGCCCCTGCCTCCCGCCGCAAGAGAGACAAGAATTTTGCCTTGTTCCCCCCGCCTTCGATTGTTTGAGGCGGGAAAACTATCTATGTGCTACGGCCCGCGCAACACAGGATATTGATTTCGTATTAGAACTGTGAACGTTAGCTTTTATGCACTCCCTTGGAGAATAATTCAAAACTGCACAGAACATTTCTAATCCCACAGTATACTAGATATTTAAATTATAAACACTTTGGTGTTTGAAAAAATATTTTTGGACGATAAATTTTGCAACTGTTTGAAATTATCCAAGATGGCCGCTTGTCTCCAAGGACTCAACAATAGGCCGACTTGTGCGACTATAAAGCAATAACTCCCCCCCTTGCGCTTGCTAATTAGCTCGGTACATATTTGTATCCACAGTTGGCAGGACGATCGCCATTAAGACGACTAAAGATTACATTGGCATTTAGGTATTTAACCTGTAGAATAGTAATTTTTAAGTAATCTGGAAGACAACTAATTAAAATGAAGTGCGAAAGGTGGGTTATGAGAGTGCTCAATGCTTGAAGCATTATCCGTTTGTTTGAGGTGCGGATTTTCAAGCTTGTAGAACAAATAAATATTACAAAGTAGAAGGTCAGGGGTGAAATTGACTGAAGTGACGGGATACCCGGTGGATTTTTAGTGACTGGATTCCAGTGGTATGCGGTAAAATATATAGTGACTGGCTTAGCAGCACAAATTTTACGTGACTGGCTTTCCCGTGCAAATGCGGTGGTGACTGCATTAGCATAGCAGTTTTTACGTAATTATATTTTAGTATTTTTAAGAAAAAAAGAGATATATACATTCAGAAATGTCTAGGCTTAAGATATTTACCAATATATATTATATATATATCATAGTCTTGAAATATATTGGGGGGTGCAACTGACTGACTTCCAGTGTATATTCCATGTGACTGACTTCCCGGGCGCGGCCGTGTATATATATATATATATATATATATATATTGCGAGTAGGGATGGACGAGATTGGATTTTTAGTTCGAGACGAGACGAGACGAGATTTTGTATTTCTCATAAAATTTCGAGACGAGATCGAGACGGGATTTCCCTTCTCATACACAACGGGAAATGCACGTTCAAAATTTTTACCTGATTTTGTAACATTGTTAGATGACTGTTTAAATACAAAAATAATGATAATAGGCAAGAATATTTACAATCTTTAATTAAAAAACATCAGCATAACATTTTTTTATTAATCACGCCTAACTTATTAAAAATGCCTACGATTAGGAAACATAGTGATATCAGTTAGGATAGAGTTCAACTTATCCTAAAATAAAATAAATCATAAAATAAAAGCAATATTAATTTTTATAAAATAATTACTTGTTTTGACTTTTTATAGTAATAAAACATTCCTCACACTGCTTACACTTAACAAAACTTCTCAAATGTTATTAAAGTAATATTATTAAAATAATTAAAGTAATATTTACATTTAAAGAATTAGTTATATAAGAACGCCTTCGCAAAGGAAACGCAACTACAACACGCTCCTGTATTGCGGGTATTGCATTGACTTTCTGCAGGCGTTTTTAATTTTTTTAATTTTTTTTTATTCTCGTCTCGATAAAAATCTCGGCCAAAAAGAAATCTCGTCTCGTGTAACGAGATTTAAAATTTCCCGAAAATTTCCCGAAATTTCGAGACTTGACCATCCCTAATTGCGAGTCCCATGCCTCACTTTAAGTTTAAGTTTCCTAAATGTTACACTCGCTTAGCTTAGTGAAGAGGTGTTAGGTTAATGAGACATAAGACTTAAGACTCTATATATATTCTTACAATATATATATATAGATATATAAAAATTTGATCGAATGGTGTTTTTGGCCTCCGGGGACATCAAAATGAAAAAGTAAATCGGTCCCGGGCTTAGGTCTTACTATGAGACCTACGGTAATAGCTACTTCCCTATAGGGAAATTCGCTAAAAGCTAATGCTCTTGGATGATTTGATGAGATGAATTCAGGTATAAGATGAAGGTGACTGAGTGAGTATTATGTTTCAGCTTGCCAGTGCAACGGACACAGCACATGTTCAAACAACAGCAGTGTATGTAACCAGCCTTGCGCCAATCTCACACAAGGTCCTCACTGTGAGAGATGTGTACCTGGCTACCATGGCAACCCTGTCAACGGCGGCCGCTGCATACGTGAGTATATTATTCCATGTAATAAACATAACATTTTAAGGGTTGGATTTGGCCAGTTCATGCTATAGAAAAGTAATACCTTAAATAAAATAGTACTCCAACTATCTGAATCACCATTTGCCCATTTATTTATTAATGTTTAAGAAAGAATTTTAAAAACCTGAAACTTTAATAATAACAGGCACAAAATAACAATCGTTATTTAAGAAGGTAGAAGCTGGGATTGCCGCAAAATCGTGAACATCTACCGCAGTCATGGTTGCAATAACAATTAGACATGATTATCATCTCCTGCGGTTACAGAAATATCATCATCATTATCCGTGATTGTGACAAAATCTTGAATATCTCCTGCGGTCTTGTGGACATCATCATGGTCTTTGGTGATCACAGCAAAATCTTGAATATCTCCCTCGTTCGTGTTGCCATAATCATTGTCTGAGGGGATCACATCAAGAAAAATTTTGGATTTTTTAAAGTCCGCTGAAGAAAGTTTAAAATCGTTCTGCTTTTGGGTTCGAGAAAATCTCTTAACAAATTTAACAAAACAATGGATAAAGATATCTTTCAGAGTTACTTGTTCCTTGTTCTTAAGTTTACTATTTCTATTTCTATTAGCTAACCCAATTTAAAAAAGAGACAGTTCATTGTGATTTTGGAACCAATAGTTACAGGCTCATTTGCGTTGTGATAAGTGTTGCCTGACGAATGTTGTTTGTTGTCAGCGTGTGAGTGCAACGATCACGGCTCCCTCTGTGACCATGAGACAGGCAAGTGCTACTGTACGACCAAGGGCATTGTGGGAGATCACTGTGAGCGCTGTGATGCACAAAACCACTACCATGGCGACCCTACCAACCATGGCTCATGTTTTTGTGAGTTATCACCTTTACAATTAATGTAACATGTATTGAGACAAGAAAAACAAAGTATTTAACTTTTACTCTTAGTAACTTTCATTAGTTCATTATTGTTATTTTTAACAAATTAATCTCACATCCCCGCAACTGTCATTTTTTAAATTAATTTTATTGTTTGCACAATTACACAACAGGTGGTGCATAATAGTTAACTACTTTTTTTAGTATTCACTCCCTGTTGCAACATTTATTTGAAGTCCTTAAGTTATGATTATATTTAATTGGAATTTAATCAAATTTATCAAATTAACTTACTTTAAAAAAAAAACTTGCAGATAGACCATTTTTTAAACTAATTTGAAGGGTTAGTTAAGATCATATAATACTGTGTATACTTTTTTTATACTTTCTTATTAAATGGCGAACATACAAAGTAGGGATTTTAAGCCAAGTATGAATGGAGATGAGTGTAATATGAGTGGCGCGATCTTGTAGTCTTGTTAGTGACTAAGGCCGACATTCCTTAGACACAGCTGTTATTAGCTGTGATTGATAATAGCCCATACCACTGTTTGATGATAGCCATAACACTGTTTGATGATAGCCATAACACTGTTTGATGATAGCCATAACACTGTTTGATGATAGCCATAACACTATTTGATGATAGCCATAACACTGTTTGATGATAGCCATAACACTGTTTGATGATAGCCATAACACTGTTGGTAATAGCCCATACCATAACACTGTTTGGTAGGGATGGTCAAGTCTCGAAATTTTGGGAAATTTTCGGGAAATTTTAAATTTCGTTACACGAGACGAGATTTCTTTTTGGCCGAGATTTTTATCGAGACAAGAATAAAAAAAAAAAAAAAAAAAAAAAAATTATTAACGCCTGCAGAAAGTCAATGCAATACCCGCAATACAGGAGCGTGTTGTAGTTGCGTTTCCTTTGCAAAGGCGTTCTTATTGAATTAATTCTTCAAATGTAAATATTACTTTAATTATTTTAATAACATTTGAGAAGTTTTGTTAAGTGTTTGTTAGCAGTGTGAGGAATGTTTTATTACTATAAAAAAAGTCAAAACCAGTAACTATTTTATAAAAATTAATATTTTATTTTATGATTGATTTTATTTTAGGATGAGTTGAACTCTATCCTAACTGATATCACTATGTTTCCTAATCGTAGGCATTTTTAATAAGTTAGGCGTGATTAATAAAAAAATGTTATGCTGATGTTTTTTAATAAAAGATTGTAAATATTCTTGCCTATTATCATTATTTTTGTATTTAAACAGTCATCTAACAATGTTACAAAATCTGGTAAAAATTCCGCACGTGCATTTCCCGTTGTGTATGAGAAGGGAAATCCCGTCTCGATCTTGTCTCAAAATTTTATGAGAAATAAAAAATCTCGTCTCGTCTCGTCTCAAACTAAAAATCCGATCTCGTCCATCCCTAGTTTGATAATAGCCCATACAGCTAATGCAGGGTGGCTAGTGACCTGGAAAACCTGGAAATGTCAGGGAATATTAAATATCTGGAAAAGTCAGGGAATTTTGTCAGAAGTCAGGGAAAATTGTAAAAGGTTTAAAATAATTTTAATAATTGTTAGGAAAGGTCGATCTGGTGAGAGTTTGTGTGCCGTGTGGGTGAAAACTTAGAAATATCTTATCAAACTCAGTTTAATTTTATTAAGGTAAGTTGCAAAGTTTGAATATAAGCTAGCCTGTATCTATAGATTTTATGTATGTTTTTCATATAAACAAACATAATATATTCTTCAGATAAAGATTAGTCCTTTTGAAGAATTAGTTATAGTCCGTCCGTTTGGCTATGATACCCAGCGGATTAGGAACCTTCTCGGAACTCGACTCACCCTTCAGACCCGATCGCCAGGCTGACCGTTGATAAAAAGTTTACCTACCTAAACTTAATTAACTTACCTAAACGTATTAAACTAGTCTGACTGGGTTACTGTGTAACCCTATTTTACCATAATATGTGACTATGTCTATTGCAAGATTGTTTTGCTTAAGGACAATAAAGGATTTCTGATTTCTGATTTCCTACTGCCACAGTCCCACAGATCTGTAACTTTTTAATTTTAAATTAAAATAAATTTTTCTTTGTATATTTGAGTTCTACATGAAATTCCAAAAATAATGAGTCCAAACACGATGTGTATACTTATCATCTACGATCTGAAAGTCGGACAAAGCTGGTGACGATACAGAGTAATTTGATTCCTTTCAGATCGTAGATATTAAGTATCCACATCGTGTTTGGTCTCATTATTTTTGGAATTTCATGTAGAACTCAAATCCCAAATATACAAAGAAAAATGTATTTGAACTTAAAATAAAAAAAGTTACTTACAGATCTTTGGGACTGTGACAGTGGGTGAGTCACTGTTTGTCTCCGGCCAGCCCGTCGAGTGGGTCGGTTGTGTCCATTTTGCGGTCGTCCATTTACCGGTCAAGGGTAAAATCGTCCATTTACCGGTCAACCCAAAAATCTAGAGGGGTGGGTCAAAAATAGTTTTCCATTTTGCGGTCACATATTTCTGAAATCCCGAGAACATGTGAGCCAGGTTGATTACTCAGATCGGCAAGCCAGGCCCGTTGACGTGTCGGTATGTTGTACACCAATGCACCAATTGTATGTGACCAAAAACTATGCCCCCCCCCCCACCTGCTTTATTTTTGACTAAAAAATTTCTTCTGCAAAATTAGTTTACCTGTTGTCTGCAAGGTGGTAACACCTACGTGTTGGATAATTACTATATTATTTAAGTTTGAATTTTATAGTTAGTGGATTTTTGTATTTTGTGTTATTGTTTTTAAGAGTTTTTAATTAAGTGCTACGATGGGATTAACTGATGTGTATATAGCCTACTTGTTTGAATATAGACTAGTTTGTTGAAATAAACGGTCATTTATAATATCATCTGACATGATTTGTGATTTAAGAAGAATCTGTCTGTTAATATAAAAGTGGCACCGCCAACAACTCCTCGTGAAGATCTTAAACTCGACATCTGCAAACAATCAAGCAGTTGCTGCTCTATGTGCATGGAACCTATTCATTCAAAATAGTCAGGTATTCTAGGAATCTAAACCTGACCGCAAAATGGAAAACCTCCCCCCCCCCCCTAGAGCCTCCTCACTCCCACACTTGACCGGTAAATGGACTGACCGCGAAATGGAAGACACCAGTGGGTCGAGAGGGTGAGTTGAGTTCCGAGAAGGTCCCTAATCCTCTGGGTATCATAGCCAAATGGAAGGACTATAGTATTAAAATTGTAATTTTTAATTTGTCGATCAGGGAAAGTTTAAAAAAATCATGGAATTGTCAGGGAATTTTTCAATGTGATTTCACTAGCCACCCTGTAAAAGCAACTAAGGGACTTGCCGTTTATTGTGGAATCCGAACCACATTCTTGCCTTGGTATATACGAATTGGTCTAATTATCAGGATAGTACTGCGGATAGTCGTAGTACTTACTCATGCGGACATTAATCCTCACCAGGGAGTATCGCATCCACAGTGCATGCCTATAAATATCCACAATTCGTGACCTCCTAGTAGCTGGATTACAGGACGACGCCACCCGTCCCAGTCTTAATAGTTTAAACCATAAAATGCAAGCTATGCACTTTTTTTTAGAATGGCCAACTGTTTTGCAAAATAGAATTGTGTTAATCAGAAACTGGGGAGAAAGCAAATCTCCATTTACCTATTTGGGTTTTACTAAAATATTCCTTTAAAATGGTCAGATTTGTTTTTATTTAAATAACATTAATTTTAATTTGTACTTAGGTTTGCTGCTACGGGAAAGGTAATAAAATGTGTTTTATTATTTAAATGTTAATAGCATAGTTCAAAGAAACAAATATGCCAAATTTGATCAAAAAGATATCCTTTAGAACTGGAAAACTACAACAGTTTATTTATTCTAATAATATGAGTTTTAAATTTACAGTTTTAAAAATGTTTCTGTGAGTCAATCATTACTTAGGCATACAAAAAGGTGTCAATATCAAATCAGGCTTTCTCAAAGTGTGGTCCGCTATTTTGTGTGGCTTTTTTACTATTTTGATTAGTTATCAATTATTGTGATTGTAGATGATTTGACAATTGACTACCAGTTCACGTTCAACCTGAGCAAGAAGGACGACCGCCATTACACACAGATCAACTTCAAGAACAGTCCACCCAAGCCTGATGTAGATGCTGACTTTAGCATCACTTGCTCTGTCATGGCTAAGATGAACATCACCATCAAAACTGGTAAACTGCCACTTACATTTAAACTATTACGGTTATGTTTCTCAGGTGTGTGGACAACTTGAGAACCCTACTCCCTCTAGCCGCAACAATCTCAACAAATTATACAGCTGTTTATTTCATTTAAATTAAGCCAGCTAAAGCCATTTTCTGACATAAAAACAATACAATATTTATTCCATTGAAATTGCATGTGAACTTGAAAACAGTAGGGCATAGCTTAGGAGGAATTTTGCCAAGGTCTATCAACAAACCTTGTCTTCAGTCTTCTTCAGTATTACCTAGCTGCCAGTCAAATGTCATACTAAACCATAAAGACATTACACAGCATGATATCGTTACAATGAAGTGACAAATTGAGGAAAAGAAAGCTACTCTCACTTCACTCAGTAGTGAGGTAGTGATCTTAAATTTTACCTTCCCTTGATAAAATGAAATGAAATATGTTTATTGACTTTTTTCTCAAAAGACGATAAAAGCATTACACAATCTATATAAAAATATAAAACTATGAGATACCGAAAGATTAAATCATACTTAAGAATAACAATGACAAAAACCATTGTCATGCTTACTCTTCATTCTTACATGCTTGCATTGTGCATTCAACGAGTTGCCATTGTTGCTGGTCAACCAATTATAGACTGTTATGGCTTTTGTGTTTTAACTTTTTGGTGGTTATAGGTTAAGTGTAAATTTATTTCACAGCAACAAGCCCAGAGAGACCACTACTGGTTGCTGGTAACTGTTCAAACTTCCGATCCCGTTTCACCAAAACTGACCACCACTTTGGAGTATCTGACAATGTGACCCTCACTACATTCTATGTCTACGTGTATGACTTTCACCCACCTCTGTGGATTCAGATCTCCTTCTCTCAGTATCCTAAACTCAACCTACAACAGTTTTTCATCACATTCTCTTCGTAAGTAATACACTCAATGTTAAAAACTATAAAATGTAAACACAAACAATTCAGTCTAACCAGAAAACATTTGTTGTTGTAGCTGTATTGGTAGTTATTTGGTCATTATTTTAATTAAAAATATTTCAAACAAATAGTTTTAAATGTTTTTGTTGAAATTGCTGTAATTTACAGTATTTTAAAGATTTTTATCAATAAAAATATACCCATACAGATATATTTTTATATCCTGGGATATCCAGGAACTCTCTGGAACCATTTTGTATATTTTGTTCCTTAGGTCAAAACAGTGCACTAATATCATACATGGGTATAAAATGCCTGTGTGTCTGTATGCGATTTTCACAAATAAATCCATAGCTTTCAAACTCCTTGAGTGATTAACTTGAATCTTAGTAATTAATCTTGGTGACAGGTAAGTCTAATCTTTGCACAAAGTATCAGAATTATTAATTTTACTAAACCAAAATGGCGGCCATTTAAAACTTTCTATCACTTCTAAGTGATAATACAAAAAACTATCAAGAGTATGCGTTTTTAGGAAATTTTATTACTAATCTAATGGTATTTAAGTTGTAAAGATTGGTTGATAAACAACTTTGATATAACAATTTTTGTGAGACCTCGCACGGTCCAGACCGCCGCGCCATACCTCACCAACGTGATGTGAGCAGTGCAACAAGGGGAAAAAATTAAACATCATAACATTCATATATACTGTTATATAGTTTTTTTATAGTATGATTTTTTAAGCTGTCATATAAATCAATTATGCATAGAACAATGATTATAACTAATTTAATATTAATTTTGGATCAGCTGGGTTTGGTGTTGAAAATAAATGTATTAAAAAAGAACCGATGATAGTTTGTTCATCATATTATTTTATTTAAACTAACTAACATACAGGGTGAGTAGTACTCCGAGTGGAATACTTATCCAGTTTCATACTAATTTACTTTCTGGATAATTAAATAATATGATAGATGGATTAGCATGATTAGTTGATGGTGTTGTTATATCCTAGCTTATCTCTATCTGTACTCTTAATGGTTTGTTACAGGTGCTTTTTATTATTGCTACTTGTGGCTGCTGTACTATGGAAAATAAAACAAAGATATGACATGTACCGCAGGAGACAAGTGAGTATATTAATATCCTGGTTGTTTCGTTACAAAGACCTTGTGCTTAGTTCTGGTTTTACTTTTGATGATTCTAAGCAATGTACAGATAGCAGGACTATTATTTTAGACCTTTTGGCAATCTTATTTATTCTTAAAATTCAAACTTTTTGAAAGTACGAGAGCTATCCATCTAGAAAGTAGATTACGTTTTTGTCTGTATCCACTAGGGGCGGGGCTAGCGTGACCATCGTGCTAGTAAGAGGTATTTGCTGTTCTCCGTTGAGTTACTGTGACAGTTTAAAATTTCTGTGTTAATTGAAAATGCCGCGAACTGTAAAGTGCGTGCAGTTATAAGGTTTTTGACTGCAAAAAACTAAACCGATATAAATCTATTGGCAACTTTGTGAAGTTAATGGGGAAAAAATTATTACTGAAGGTGGAGTCGTCAGTGGGTCATCAAAATTAAAAATGGCCGTACTAACATTCATGACGAAGAGCGAAGTGGAAGACCCAGCATTGTGACTGCTGAACTTGTCAAAAAAGTCTATGCCGATATCTGTAAAACTCGAAAGTTCACAATAACAGAACTCTATGGGTTTTCCACAAATTTCGTAAAGTTTGTTGCACGAGATCATAACCGAAAAGTAGGGATGGACAAGATTGGATTTTTAGTACGAGACAAGACGAGACGGAATTTTTATTTCTCATAAAATTTCGAGACGAGATGGAGACAGGATTTCACTTCTCATACATAACGGGAAATGGACGTTCCACATTTTAACCAGATTTGTTTTTAACATTTTGAAATACCTACTGATTTATGACAGACTGGTTAAATACAAAAAAAATAATAATTAGGGATGGACGAGTCCCGAAATTTTGGGAATTTTTGGGAGAAAAATATTCTCGGTTATCGAGACGGGATTACATTTGATTCGGGAATTTTTCTGGACGGGATTTGGTCCGATCGTCGGCGATATTTTCCGCATCGCGAGTGCCGATAACGCCGCTATTGCGAGCGATAGGTCCGCGAACTCAGGAGACAAAGTCATTACGACGATTGCGCCGTGACCGCGGAGTCATACAGTCAGTCATGGCGTGACTGCGGAGTCGATCAGGCCGTGATGGCGAGTCATACCAACGATCACCCCGTGATCACGAGTCATCCTGACTATCACGCCGTGACTGCGGAGTCATGCCGACAATGGTGCCGTGATCCCGAGTCATACTGACGATCGCGCTGTGACCGCGGAGTAATGCCGACGATCGTGTTGTGATTGCGAGTCATACCGACAATCACGTCGTGACCGCGGGGTCATACCGACGATCGCGCCGTGACCGTGAGTCATACCAACGATCATGCTGTGACCGCGGTCATTTTGACGATCACACCGTGACCGCAAGTCACAAGTCATAGGTACCTGTTAATTGTTACCCATTTTGTGGTTTTTGTAGATCAGTACCACAAATGGTAAAAATTGATTTCGTATGTCGTTTTTGGTAACTGCAATACTCAAGACTTTCTTTTTATGCACAGAAAAAAATCCTGTCCTGTCCCGTCACGAAAATCGGGAAGGAAATAAAAATCCCGTCCTGTCCCGTCCCGAACTAAAAATTCAATCCCGTCCATCCCTAAATAATAGACAAAAATTTCTTTTATTAAAAAATTAAAAAAAACATTTATAAAAACATCAGTATAAAAAAAAGTATTAATAAGGCCTAACTTATAAAAAACTAGCAGCTATAACCGTGCCTTGCAACGGGGTCAGTATGCAAAAGAGCCAATATTGGTTCTTTGAAAATGCCTTATAAATGGTTTCACTCCTACCATTTGATTAGAAACGAAATTGAACTGTTTACATTGACAATAGTACGTTTTTGTTAACTCAGACTGTGAACACTTTAGGCATGGGCTACCTAGGATACAAAACCAATCATAGATTTTAAGGTACAGTCAAATAACATGTTTAATGGTTTGTACTGTAAACGAAAATCCATCACAATTGTTCCAAACCTGTCAATAGTGTAATGTTCTAACATATTTTTGAAATTATTATCAGGCAAATGGCAATTCGCTTAGTCTGTAGGGTTGCTGTGGTGAGTGAGCGTAGCGAACGAGCTCCAACCTAAAGGTGAGTGAGCGTAGCGAACAAACTTCAACCAGGACGTGATTGAGCCATGCGAACGAGATAATCTTGAAAATTAAGAAGTTAAACGGGGCAAAGCCCGCGGGTTACAGCTAGTATTTAATACTAGGTGAAACCCGTCGAAATCGACGGTTACTTTCAAGGCTTACGTTAATTCATGTAACTGCGATAAATTGGGTGAAATATACATATTTTGAGCATTTAGCATTGTTTAAAGAGTAATAAGTGTAAAATTAATTATGATATTAATTGCGTTAGTTGCCAAATTTGGTTGATCATTCAATGATTAAAATATTTCCTATTCCTATACCGTACGTTATCGGAGTTATTATTAGTATGTTATATGGTATCTCTTCCTTTGGAAGAACTAAAGGTTCTTCTAATAGTATTAAAATCGTATTGGTGGATCTTTTGTAGTTAAACACTTCCGCGATTTCATCAGTGTAATATGATTTTATTTGAAAAGAAAATATTTTTTGGGAAGACATATTCTAACTTCAAAGGGAGGTATACCTGTTACAGTGTAAGTTTGATTTTTCCTTCGTCACGTCGCGTCAGTTCATATCGTACTTCTGTGCCAATGAATGAACCCTCTAGCATAGGCCTAGTTATGAGAAATTTATTGTGGGGTTACTGTTAAAGCTGGAATTCCTTGACATGGGGGATGTCAGTTAGTTGTCTCAGCCTTATCAATAAAATAAAGTTGTCAATATAATATCTCTACGGAATGTTAGGTGTAGTGGAATACTTGAAGTGAAGTTGGCTTTTATTCTTGAACTGTTAGGGGCCTCCTAGTTCATATGGTCTTATGGCTTCATTGGCAACAAATAATGCAAATGACATAGCAATGGGACATTTCCAAAAATCAAAAATACTGTAAATTGGCTGTTACCATTGACTATTGCTGTTACGTATATATTGACGTTTACATATTGTTAGTCAACGTATCTTATAAAGGATTATGTGATCTAGTTTAAAAGGAATATGACCTTTCTGTCATGACAATAGCTGCTTAAATAATATTTTCTCTTTGTACCAATTTTTACAGCCAAAATTTTGTGTTATTTTCAATAAAGTTACCTACCCAGTGCGCCAAAGTCCGTAATATAGGCAGGTGCAAATCATTTGTCAAGATGGGTACCATTTTAGTCAAGGTTTCTGTGTTTGGATTTTATTAGACACGATAAGAGCAGATATTTCTGCATAAATATTTGATATGTGAAGAATAATATGATAAAATGTAGGCAAAAGTGGTGAAAAAGGCAGACACCAACCCGTACAATAGATATATGATAGTTCAATAAGAAATATTTTAAGAATTGCTTTGATAAACGGATTTTCCACTAATTTCGTAATGGAACGTTATATTGCAAAACATTGCAAATACTTATTGGTAGAATTCAGTAACTCCCAATAAATATGTGTTGTTTGAAATACAATTTAAAAATGAACAGCTGTTGCATTAAAAAGTATTATTCACATGGCCAAAATGTAAACAACTCTGTGGAGGGATCTTTAAAGGCTTCTGGGGCAGAGTCCTATTGACTTTTGGTTAGTTTTTCTTTTGATAACTCATCTACAGACCAAGACCTTTCTTTGGACACCTCTACCAAGTTTCTACGCCCAGCCGTTTTCTCAAATTAGTGGGGACAAAGTTTCCAATTAAATATTTAGATTCCCCCATGTTAATCTTATGGGAGAAACTCCAACTTTGATGGCCTGTGGGGCAAAGCCCGAGGATTTTTATTACATGAATTGGTGAAAGGGGGCGTCTACACAAAAAATACTTTATTTTGACACGTCGTTTGTAAAAATCCGTCCATTATTAACGGAGGAGTAGTGTTTTGTAGAAATCGCCTTCACGTATTACAGTCTAACCTTGATATAACGAACCTCGATACAACGAATTCCTTGATATAACGAATTTTTTTAAATCCCCTAGAACTCTCCATAAGACACAATGTATATTTTACCTCTACATAACGAACAAACCATAACAACGACCTTGATTTAACGAATTTTTCGTGATTTCGGCTAAAATAAGACACCTCAATATAGCGAATTTATCATTGTCAGAACCTCTACATTGCGAATTTCACCTCTGCATAACGAATTGTCTACGTCTTTCCCTCGATATAACAAATCCCCCACCCCATTATTGTTTTTGAAAAATCTGTTTCTTTATCAAATGCAATGGAAAGGTGACGTCATTGCTTGCGCTAACATTCGTCTGCTCCGTTTTACACATCGCTGTCTGCTGTCGCTGCGCGCGCTATGTTGCAACTGAGAACTGATTTCATTCACTGAGGACTGATGACGACGTAATGTTTTAGTAAGCTGTGATTGGGCGATATGGGATAACTATGGCGAATTTTACAATTTTTGGATAAAGAGAAACCTAAGAAAGAATATAAAAACAAAACCAAAGAGAAAGAATAGCAACATCGTTATTTTAACATTCCTTTTTCGAGTGTTTTTATTATCTTTAAGTTGGCTATTGATTATACACATTTATAATGACTTATCTAATAATTTACTGTATTGTTTTCAATACGATTTGTTTCAACTAGCAACACCAATGCTATAGTTAATGATTATTATTGACATTCCTGTCATCTGTTGTGATAAATCAGTACCGGTACTGTACTGTAAGTAGCCTACTGGCCTATCACGAGCAGTAGCTTACAAAACTTTCTACATACTACTGTTTTGTTTTATTCTTTACATGATTTATGACTATGATTTTAAACTTACAGTTTCTTAACCTGTACCAAGGTCAATGCCATTGTCATGATTGCGCAATATTCAAGATCCCTCCACTTTATTATGCCGGATAATTTAGGTTCTTCTGTACAATGTAAACACTGTACTGTAAAGTATAGTAGCCTATGCTACTTTAATTGTGTTTTAATGATGACTAATCCCGACCTATATTGACCGACCCTGGTTCTGAACCTCGTCTTAGCGAAATTCCTGCAAACATAACCTCTATATAACGAACCTCGTTTTTACGAAATCCTTGATATAACGAATATTCAGTTCGGTCCCTTCAGATTCGTTATACTGAGGTTGGACTGTATATATAAGGATGTTTGAACCAGCTGTGTGGAATTGTGAAATCGAAATTCATTTTGACAGGGTTTTTTACATTTTTAAACATTGTAGGTTTGTTCTTTGTTACTATGGATACCATCAATCAATATTTACTTTTAAATCTCTCACCTCAAATTTTTGAAAGCCAACGGGGCAGAGCCCTAGGACAATATCGAAGCGGGAATAGTTCTATATGTATCCTCGAAGCTGTAGCTTCATTTGTGTGCAATTTGAGCACAGTCGGTCCAGTAGTTTTTGAGATTATCTCATACAAACACACACACAGACACCACCTATTCTTTATAATAGTATATAGATAGATAACTCTTCGGCATAGGAAACATGGAGATATCAGTTAGTATATAGGTAATTCAACTTTGAAAAATAAAAATATCAACACCTTTAATCAAAGTACAGTACAATTTGAAATCTTCTGTTTCCCCACCTAAATGGTACATTTTACTCTATTAACAGTTAAATTAAAAACTATTGTACTTGCAATTAATTAATTGAAACCGTTATTTTAGTCCCAAAGGTATTAATCACACTTGGTTTTGGATTTGTTTACAAAACTTTATCGGAAATAGTTACAGTATTTGTAAACAAATTTTAATGTAAACATATCAGTAACAGTTTTAAGAAAAAATCTGTATCCAATCCAAATATTTGTTTTTTATTTCATAGATGATAACGTATTCTCTACTAAACAGATGATTGGTGTGAGATAAATGACATAGGTAGTAAAGGTAGGAAAAATATGACAGTAATCGCACAAAACTTGTTTTTTAATGTTTGTTATTTTGTTTCCAAAGTAGTGAGGCTATATTTCAAAAGGGCAAAGACATTCTCATCAGTCCAATAAATACAGGAAAACTATTTAAATCTTGATCGGTACTTTATTTTTTTTGGAGTAGGCCATGTAAATTGGTATTTTGGGATCACAGACACAATGACAGACAGAGAACTTGATGTAAAATAAAATATCCAATAACCGCTTTAGTTTTAGTTTTTAGGCTTAGCAGAGTTTACAGATGGTGTTTGATACTAAACTCTATTAATGTACATCTTTTATTAACAGATAAAACTAATAATTTTCAGAGAATGTTTGTGGAGATGGAACAGATGGCAAGTCGCCCTTTCTCTCAAGTTCTAGTTGAAATTGAGAAAAGGGATGCCTCTGCTGAAAGCACCACAGTCAATAATACTCTTAGAAGACGTAAAAAGGTAAGTTAGAAAGTCTGTGGTTTTTATTACTAGGCCTATTTAGTGTTGTAATGAGTCTCAACCTAAATGTTTCCTCAGTTTGAAGTCCACAAACAATTATAATGTAATGGTTATGCAGAAGGTTTTCACCTTTGCAGATATGAGTATGTAGGGAAACTGTTTTTAAGGAAACATCGTAAGTGTTAAATATTAGCTACTGAATTAGGTTGAAATAAGATCTTTCACTACCAACAAAGACTTGCCACAATATAACCCTTTAGTGTGTTGCTTGCCTAGTGGTTAATGTCTCAAACGTTTTTGTGAGGGGAAAAGGTTTATCAACCGGCATATCCACAAAAATTTAAGGAGTTTGGACTAGAGGTAAAATTTCTATTTGGGTCAGATAGTTAAATCTTGGTTCAGATTATATTTGATAATGAAAGTTTCACATTTGGATAGTTTTGACTTCAAGTACCGGTACTTAATAAATTCATGTTAAGGTTAATAAGTTTAAATTTTGCAGCAAATCCATAAAAACACTGTAGTACTGTGTAAATATACATATATGTCATGATTTTAATTTTACACCAACAAAGTGCATTTATGCGAAATCATGAAATTTTAAGTCATTGAACTGAAAACAAATCATTTTTAATTATAAACAAATTTATAACTCATAAAAAATATAAAATCAATAATCATACATACTGTAAGCATACGACTTGTTTGCCAGCGGTGTGTGCGGGGGGAAAGCGGTACCAATCTCCCTCCGTAGCCAAAGTTTTGTGGCATTGGTTGGACTACCCTTTTATAAAAACATTCTACCAGCGCTGTTCGCGTTGTTTTCCTTTTCTACGTCCATGTTTTTAGAATTTAAATTTGAATTTGATTCAAGTACCATAGATACAATCTAATTAATTAGTAAGGGTTCTATATTATTGTTTTCGTTTTGGTAATGTAGTAGATTAAATTATTTTTATACAACTATGTTTTTACTTATTAAAATGTACACCAAACGGTAAAATCTTATTATACTTGAACTTAATTCCTTAATTGTAAAGTTTGACTTGTTAGGTGCAAACCATTAACTGAGTTTATAGGTGATATATAGTGTTTGATGTAAAAAGACATACAGATAATACCTATAAACAGAAAAACCATAAGGCTTAGTACTTTTTTTTCCTAGGACGCTAGGCACGAGCCTGGGATTGTTTTTCACATTACTTCAGGCTAGACCTAGGGGTTGCGGCATTATCACTTCCATTGGTGACTTGGCCGGGATCAAACCCGGGACCTCAGACCGAAGTCCCGCGCTCTAACCTCTACGCCAGCTCACTCCCAAGGCTTAGTACTAGGGATGGACGGGATTGAATTTTCAGTTCGGGACGGGACGGGACAGGATTTTATTCTTGTGCAAAAAAGGGTTTGTTTTAAAACTATTGAGTATTGCAGTTACCAAACAGACAAAAAAATCAATAATGGGTAAAAATTTACAGGTACGGTATAGAAAAAAGGTTGTGTCATATCTGGTGTAATTTAACTGTAAAACATCAGTCCCGTAGTAAAATACCTTACAGGTATTGAGGTATTGAAACAGACTATCACTCACTGCATTTAAAAAACTCTGTAGAGTTTTATGGCCTGAATTGGTTATGATTAGAAAAGCAGTATAGCTTAATAAATCCAAATTTTGACATGTCTAAAGAATATTGCTACCTAACACAATACTGCTAAATAAGTCATTGATAAAATAAATTATTCATTGAGGAAATAATTTTGATTCTATAACCGCCGTATCCTCGGCTTTTATCCTGAGTTTTGTTTTATGACAATTATTTTTACATATATTTTTGTGGAAACAGTTAAAACACCCCAACCACAGCAAACCTGCAGAGTGCAGACTAAGTAAATTGCCTGAATATATTTTCACCTGAACCAAATATTGTCTCTTTTGCATACTAGCCTCGTTGCAAAGCACGGGTATTTTTTTTTTTTTTTTTTTTTTTTATAAGGGAGAGGAGGTAAAAATGCTTTTACGCACACAGGTAGCCAGCCTGTAGTGTGAGACTCCTGAGCTTGTCAGACTACTCACTAAAAAACCCCCTCTACTCTGTTGGACACAGACCTGGGATTGTTTGTCACATTACTTCAGGTCAGGTCAACGTGTGACCTAAGCCCTCAGGGCTCGCGCCGTTTCTGGCATTCAATTTCTTTATGACCTAGACTGCATCTCGGTCAAGCTCTAGCTTCTTTGTGCGGAGAATATCCTGGACGAAATGTGACATACAGGTCCAATTGTCCTCACCCTCCGTCATCATCGGAATGACCGTGTCCACCAACAACTGCCCTACATGTTGTTCAGCCTTCAGGCGGGAACCTTCCCAACGCTGGCAGCGGAAGAAGGTGTGCTCCGCGTCGTCGGGAGTGCCTGGGCAGTAGATGCAATCGGGTGACACGGCTTTGCCCATCCTGAACAGGTACGACCGAAAAAACCCGTGACCTGTCAGAAACTGGGTAAGGTAATAGTCCACCTCACCATACCGTCGGTCAACCCATGGTTGGACTTGCTGAATCAGTCTCCTGGTCCAGCGTCCCCGCGACTCCTGTTCCCAGCTCTCCTGCCAGAGCTGGTAGGTGCGGTTGCGCTCCTCCATTTTTGCATGGTCCTCTCCACGCCGCTGATAAATCGCTTTCCTCTCCGCCGCCAAAAGTTTGACGGGGATTACTCCAGCAACCACCAAGATGGCAGGTTCAGACACTGTTCGGTAGGCGGATGCTACCCTGAGTGCTGCCTGACGATGCACTCTGGCAAGCCGCATCCTATACACCTCCTTATTGAGCGCGTCTGCCCACACCTCCGCACCATACAGGAGCACAGACTGAACTGTAGACATCAACAGCCTTCTGCGACTGGAACGAGGACCTCCGACATTGGCCATTAACCGGCTAAGAGAAGAGATCACCTTAGCGGCCTTGTCCGCTGTTCGGAATATCTGGTCCCGCCAGCTAAGCTTAGAGTCCACCATGACACCAAGATACTTGGCGGCACGAACGGACTGGACTTCGACGTCCCCCACCCTCAACGGCACAATGGTGTCAATCCGCTTTTTGGTCAGAATCACGATCTCAGTTTTGTTCAGCGCGAGTGAGAGACCGTGATCTGCCATCCATGCGTTTATAGTTCGCATGACTCGGTTTAATTTTAGCTGGGCCAGCTCTACACTACGAGCAGCTATTAAAGCTGCAATGTCATCTGCGTACCCAACTAAAACGGTTTCTTCAGGCATTTCAGACCTAAGGAGGCTGTCGTAGGCAACGTTCCAGAGGTCCGGGCCAAGTATGGAACCTTGGGCAGCACCAGAAGTGACACTCATCGTCCGCGGGCCTTCTGTAGTATCATACATGAGGAGGCGGAACCGGAGGTAATCCTCTATAATGCGCATGAGGTATGCCGGGACGTGGAAGTTGTTCTCCAGAGCGTCCAGCATATCGCACCATCTTGCAGAATTAAATGTGTTTCGCACATCGAGTGTAACGAGCAGCACAACCCTACGAGAGTAGTGATTAAAATCCTCAGCTCTCATCACGGCTTGCTTCACCTCCTCAATAGCGTCGACCGTTGATCGCCCCTTCCTGAAGCCGTATTGGCGAGGGCTCAGGTCCCCCGCAGCAACCACAGCTGAATTCAGTCGGGAACGGATCAACTTCTCTAGGACTTTCCCAGCCGTATCCAACATGCAAAGGGGTCTGTAAGAGGACGGCAATTCTGGGTCTCCTTTCCCCTTCCCTACGAGCACGAGCCTAGCTTTTTTCCAGCACAACGGAAATACCCCCTCTGCTAGGCAGGCGTTGTACATGCTCAGAAGAATCAGGGGATTGATTGAAAAAACCTTCTTAAGAGCCTCGCCAGGTACCCCATCAGGTCCAGGAGCCTTGTTGTTTTTTAGGGATAAAACGGCAGTCTCCAGCTCCTCATGAGTGAAGAGTGGGACATCGTCCATCATCTCAAACTCACGCAGTGGGCGCAGAATTCTGCAAAGCACGGGTATAGCGGCTAGTTTTACTATAAAACAGAGTTTTAAGAGTTAACTAAATTTTCACTTTACTTTTTTGAATTATTTAATCAATTTTGTAATGTCTTTAAGTACTACACCTTATAAAGACGTATGGAGCAACATAGTTTCTAAAAAAGTATTATAGTTTCCAGTGATGGGCGGATCCAAGAAAATGTCGGTACCGGATCCGGATCCGGATCTTGAAAAATTCGGATCCGGATCTTCGGATCCCGATCCAGATACACACTGTCATAAGGGCGGGTTAAAAAAAAACGTAATTAACAGAATGCCAATTTAAATCATACTTTTATTATTTTTTATCACGAAGCATCGGGTGAGATTAAAATACTAACGGGATATTTTTGAGACGAAATTATAGGCCGTTAGCTTATCATCCAGGTACAAAACTAAAAACTAGAGGTGTGAAGATAAACAAATCGGTGTTGTACAGTGATACAGACAGCTTTATGCTAGTAAAAACATTCGGGGGTTGTAGAGTGATACAGACAGCTTTGTGTTAGTAAAAAAATCGGTGTTGTACAGTGATACAGACAGCTTTGTGTTAGTAAAAAAATCGGTGTTGTACATTGATACAGACAGCTTTGTGTTTAGTAATCAAATCGGTGTTGTACAGTGATACAGACAGCTTTTTGTCTTAGTAAAAAATCGGGGTTGTACAGGGATACAGACAGCTTTGTGTTAGTTAAAAAATCGGTGTTGTACAGTGATACAGACAGCTTTGTGTTTAGTAAACAAATCGGTGTTGTACAGTGATACAGATAGCTTTATGCTAGTAAAAACATTCGGGGTTGTAGAGTGATACAGACAGCATTGTGTTAGTAAAAAAATCGGTGTTGTACAGTGATACAGACAGCTTTGTGTTAGTAAAAAAATCGGTGTTGTACATTGATACAGACAGCTTTGTGTTAGGAAAAAATCGGGAAAAAAATTTGAAAAAATCGGATCCATCAAAACCGGATCCAGCCCAAGATCCGGAATTTTTTGGATCCGATCCGGTGCCGGTTCTAGCTCGGATCCGGCGGATCCGGTAGTCCGATATCCGGATCCGACCATCACTAATAGTTTCTCACAGAGATCAGAAACATAGGGCACTTAACAAATTTTACCCCGTGTTTGGAACGTTACGGTAGCAGCTGAAACCGTAATGCAATAAAAAGCTTCAAAATTGCTTATCAGCAATTTCCCTATAAAATATAGGGAATAAAAAGTAATTTAAATAATTAATGATTGTGTGAAGCCGAGGTAAATGTAAAATATATCTCCAATACTCAAAATATACAGCATGTCAGAAAAAGTTGACTATTTAACGGATGGTATCCGAACTAAACCGAACACCAGAGCTACCAAACCTCTACTTTGGACCAGTTATCTTTAAAATTTTTTTTAACTACTTCTAGTGTAAGCCCCAAGAAAACCCCTGCATACTCCTATGGTTACTGTTTGTTGAGTAGTTGGGGCAGTAGTTTTTAGAAAAAATATCTAGTTCTACTGAAATCATAGTTCCATCAAAGCTTAGGCCTATTTTTAGTGATATCAGTTAACAATTACCTAAAGATATGATTAATCATTTGTCTTCCCCAAGTTCATATACCTCTTATCATGAACATCTCCCGCGATCACGGCACCATCAGTCAACATGTCCCACGTTCATGGCGCCATCTTGCAACTTGTTTCCCGGTCACGGTGCAAGTGTCTCCGCGATCATGGAGACATAATAATTGTCTCCTGTGTTTGCAGAAGGGTCGTGAACATCTCTTGCAATCACAGAGACATTATCATCGTCACTTGCGACCCAGTAAAATCACTGATGATCGGAGTGAATCCCGTCCCTAAAGAATTCCGTCCTTAGATCCCTGTGGGGCATAGCCCTATAGGATTTTCACATCTTAAATATGCCAGTGTGTTTTTGAAGACTACCAAGTACCTCTCTGCTAAATGTCAGCTCAATCGGTCCAGTAGTTTTCACATAATCAAACTTCAGAGTTATACACAAACATCCATACTTTCACATTTACAATATTAGTAGAATATCCCAAAAATTGTGTTACATTTTTAGGACCCTATCCATCTCTAATTTTAAGAGTTAGATTATTCCCGACCTACGGCCGAATCTCTTGACTTTTTCACAATTTTTCCCAAAATTTCAAAATTCCCGACTTTCCCGGAACTCCCGACTGGTAGACACCCTGTATAATTATGTATAATTACTGGGAATTACATTAAAGATGCATAACATAAATCACTGTTATTAATTAACATAATTCAACACCATTTATTCTGTATAACTTAGATGTCCTGGTAAACTGTTATTCTGTATGTATAGGACTCGCCCAGTCCCATCGCCCTAGAGCCTTGTTGTGGTAACAGAGCAGCTGTGTTGTCACTGCTGGTGAGACTGCCTACTGGAGGGGAGAGGTACACTCCACCTGGCCAATCAGGTAACCTATTAACGTACATATTAACTAGGTGGCACAGAAAGATCAAGACCCAGGATTGATTTACATTTAAAAGAATTATTGTACAATATCTTTAACTTAAGAAACATCAACACAGTAGACACTGTACCGTGCGGCTCTGGCTTTAGAATAGACCTCAGTATCCCCTGCTTGTCATAAGAGGGGGGGGGGGGAATGCACCCATTCTTGTAGCGTCTCCCTACATACCATCATTTTCCGTTTGATTTCAATAAACCAGTCTTTTCCAAATCACTCTGGTCTATTCTCGTGTATGGCTCCCTGTCCTTTGTCTCCCACTGCGTTGGACATCCGTTCAGGAAGAGGGTACAGCTTAAAACCTGGGTTTTCCTGCATATCCCAGAACACTGGATAGTACAGGGTCCCGGGTCAGCTTAACCAGCAATCTGGCTGTCCTATCATCCGGTAAACACCCCCTTGGCCGCAGTGGTGCCTGACAACCGAATAGGGCCCTGCTGTGGTCTTGGGGGGTGGGGAGGAGTATTGGACGTCCTTCTGACTTTGATACTCATCAAATGTATTGTTATTTAATAGGGATGGTCAAGTCTCGAAATTTCGGGAAATTTTAAATCTCGTTACAGGAGACGAGATTTTGTTTTAGCCGAGATTTTTATCGAGACGAGAATTAAAAAAAAAAAAAAAAAAATTAAAAACGCCTGCAGAAAGTCAATGCAATACCCGCAATACAGAAGCATGTTGTAGTTGTGTTTCCTTTGCGAAGGCGTTCTTATTTAATTAATTCTTTAAATGTAAATATTACTTTAACTATTTTAATAATATTACTTTAATAACATTTGAGAAGTTTTTTTAAGTGTAAGCAGTGTGAGGAATGTTTTATTACTATAAAAAGTCAAAAAATGTACCTAACTATTTTATAAAAATTAATATTGCTTTTATTTTATGATTTATTTTATTTTAGGATAAGTTGAACTCTATCCTAACTGATATCACTATGTTTCCTAATCGTAGGCATTTTTAATAAGTTAGGCGTGATTAATAAAAAAATGTTATGCTGATGTTTTTTAATAAAAGATTGTAAATATTCTTGCCTATTATCATTATTTTTGTAACAGTCATCTAACAATGTTACAAAATCAGGTAAAAATTTTGAACTTGCATTTCCCGTTGTGTATGAGAAGGGAAATCCCGTCTCGATCTTGTCTCGAAATTTTATGAGAAATAAAAAATCTCGTCTCGTCTTGAACTAAAAATCCAATCTCGTCCATCCCTATTATTTAATTAGGGAATAAATATGACAAGGAAATGTTTTTGTGAAAATCCAACCAGGCAATAGGAAATTTGTTTAGTCTGCAGGTTTGCTGTGGCGGGAGTAGCCTATATAACATTACATGCTATATTGACGTGTTTAAGTGCATAAGACCTTTCTTGTAGATAAGCTTGCGTAGATTATTTAAGCATATTATGAAAAATATTTTGCTGGAGCCCACAGTTTTTTACAAAAAATTGGACCTTTAGAGCCTCCTAGCCCCCTTAGCTCCACTCCCACCAGTCAGTACTTTTGTTGTTTAAGGACCATTCTTTAACTATAACAAATTTGGCTTATACATGCGTTTTTTCCTCTGTTTGGATGTCCTCGTTGCCTGGACTATGATATATTTATTAGCTTTTGTAACTTTAAGGGTTTAAGTGCCAAGGATTTTGCATTCTTTAAACCTCTGTGTTGTGTTGAGCAGCTGGTTTGGCGATCGCCTCTGCTCTAGTGACTCTAGGCAATCCTCGCAAAGTAAGCCTAGATCCTACAACCAAGACAGACAAGTCCAAAAGTCGAAAATCACTTTCCAGTCAACACCCAGACAGTTGCATGTAACCTTGTATATACTAGTCTGTACGATATGTTGTACATTTATAAAATATAATAGAGCTAGTTAGTTGGGCAGAAAGGCACTGGACACTAAAAATGCATTTATTTAAACATTTGTTTTTTAATTTTATTTTGACTTTTTAGATGGTTGAGTTTTGTAAACATGCTTGCAAAAATGATTCCATTGGGAAATATTTAATCGGCTTTGCAACACGTTTAAGTTGTTCTATTGTAAATGTTGTTGTTTAGAAATAAAGTGAAAAATCTTCAATACCTGTTATTTGTGTTGGAATATAAATATTTTTTTTCAATAATTTATAAAATCTTGCATTTGTCTAGAATTGAGTATAAATCGTTATGTTTTTATGCAATCCAATAAATTTAATTTGACGATTTCTGTGGCTTGTCTGCAAGTTTAATATAGAAGACTTGAATTAACATCGACTATTGGATATTAACATATTAGTTTTGAAACGCTAACTGTGGCTCTTTTATCACCATGATTATAATAATATATTTTAATTGTAAATTAACCTTACGGTATGGAACAAATTATATGTATTGCAATAACTCTAATGAATGATCAGGTATAATATAGAGATATATTTAAAGTACAAGTTTTTATCTTGTTGACTAGATAAGCAAGTTAGCTAATAACGTATTTGCCTTAGATAAAATATAATTCAAATTAGTTCTATAACAAATTTTATAAATAGCTCTATGCTGAACCATTGTTATGCATTTAATTACTCATTATGTCCCTGAATGCTCCTTGAGCATTTACATTTGATATTAACAAATCATTTTTTGTTATGCTTTTAGTAAATGTTTTCTCTAACTGTTTTATAGAAAAGTGACCTTTTTTACATATATTTTAATATTTTTTTGTAAATCTAGTAATTATGGATAAATGTGTCCAGTGCTTTTCAAAACCCAAATACATTTTGTGCTCTTACCAAACATCAGTGTTTATACATAGACACAATGTCCGTTTCACAACATAGTTGTTTCCTTCCCTTTGTATATAAAATAATATTTGTAAATAAAAGAGCAGTTAAAAGAGCAGCTCTTTATTTGATGGATATTTAAGAATTTTATATTTTAGGTTGAATCTCAAAAGTAAAATAATTATTTATTTTGTAACATATTTGTTTGCTTAGGTTAGAGGACTCAATATGTTTCTGTTGTTCAAGTTTTTTGAAAGATGTTGACTGAATTTCAAACTTTCTTATCTATTATGTTAGATCGTCAAAACTTATAGGTACTAATTGAAGAAATTCTCATTAAGATAGTTTATTTATTTGGACTTAAGGTTATTGTAATTCCATAGCATTTATTTATCCATTCTATATATTTATTATTTTAACCAACATGATAGGTTTTTTTTTCAAATTAACATAAGCATAAGGTGATTGTGAAGATAGAAGGGATATGCTAGGATGTTGAGATACTATAAGGTTATCATCAAGTTCTTGTCCATCCCTCCTAACACAAATAACAGTAATGTAGTTGAGTTTTACTGCCCCACCAACGCTCTACTGATCTGTTATCTAGATGAGACACCATCTGGTCACACTTGCCAAATGTGTTACTATATGAATTTATTTATCCTAGATTTGTTGTACAGTAGCAGCTTGATTATCTGAGGTAAACGTTAGGAGAGGGATTGCTGTTAAGTTAAGTGATAACACGGTAAATCAGAATCAAGAAAATAATACTGTGCCAGTAAAACAAAATGTAACCCACTAAGGAGAGACAGTTAAAGCAAGGATTATATGGTCAAATGCTTAATAAACAATTTCATGAAATGCAAATTCTGTTAAAGAATTAAATTTGGGAACATAAAAGAACAGGTAATTTGCGCAACATTGATTATAAAACTACCTAAATCTAAATCAAGTGCCAAGCAAACTTGTGTGGTGGCTTATCTATTTCACTTGTTTGTGTTATATTCTGTAGTCATTTAGTTTTGCCGTGGTTCTCATTCTCTTCTCTCCGCCCTCACAATGTGCAGTGCCCAATGCTCGCAGCAGGTTGTTTTGGTAATCATGTGTTGTAATAGCATCAGTACCGGATTTCCCTGTAGGCTGACTAGCATCAAGCTTAGTTTAACATTAATAAATTCTCAACTATTGTGGGCGATTTTCATGATTTAGCTGCAATCATGGATGACAATGATGATGTCTCTGTGATTGAAGGAGATTTTAACGAATTTGCCGCGATCCAAGGAGCGGGTGCCACTTGGATTAATTTGGCCTAAGGCCGCAAGTACCCTAAATCCAGCACTGCCAATCTAATGGACTGTACGTAAACAGTTAATGAAAAACAGGGTGATTAGGCCTATTACTGTCTTTGGAATTTATAAGGTATGAATTTCATTTTTTTTTACAATTTATTCCTTCTTAATAACATCTAATAGTGAACATAAGTTTTATAGTATCAACAACTTTTCTAGAATAATTATTTATTGACCATTTCCCCCCTGGTAAATCTACCACATTATTAATCCACCCCAGATAATCAAGATTCTCCTGTAGTTTCCTTGGCTAAATCATCTCCAAGTCAGGCAGATTTAAAGATCTGGCATTTGCTATGTTTATTGAAAAAAAAAACAGGCTAAAACTTATTTCCCTTCATCTTACACCTTATTATTTTAAGCTACATGACAAACATATAATTTAGTCTTAAGATGATCATAACTTTAACATTGACATTCTACTACTTGAACATCCAATGGGTCCATTTTATGTTAAGATTTATAACTCTTATGCTTTGGTTAGATAACTATAAAACTAATAACATTCTCATAAAATATTTTTTTGTAAATTTTTAATGAGGCGTTTAATCAACATTGTAACCATCTTCTGTTGAATGGCTCTTTAAGAGTTAGGAATAGGCTGTGAAAACAAACAAAATCATATGGATGTGTTTATTGATGTTTTGACTTATGTTTAAGATGTAACCAAAGTTTTATACTTTTTTATGTATGATTGGAACGTAGTAGCTGTACGATTCATTGTCATTTACTGTGTGTACATCACTCCAAAATGGCTTATGTATTGCGTTTGTAATGTTTGTTGAAGCAATAAATGTTACACATTCTCTTATGACTGTAATTCATTACTTTTAAGTAAATATTTTTTTTACTTTTTTATTTTTGTGTTAGTATTATGCTTTATTTAGTTTATCATGTTTTGTGGTGGACACTTTCAGATAGCGAGTTATTGAATGATTCTACAAGTTTTTGAAGAAAGTATTAATATGTATACAAATTATGTTTCATATAAAATTGTATCTTTTGATTAGAGTTGCATATTTGTATCATTCAATATTATTAATGTCCATTTTTTAAAGCCGAAGATTAGCTGTAGTGTATGTGTATTAAAATTGTGTCATACATTAATTTCATAAAAAGCAAACTTTTAAATTTATAAATATATTTTCGATTAAACTATTTAAGGCTTAACTACTGGTTTTCATACAGTTAATTGTATTGATAAGAGAGTATGTATTGTGTAGCATTATTTCAGTCTAACTAATAAAAAAAGGAAGAAACTTATAACCAACGCAAAAAGTATATGATTTGGCTTAAATTGATATGTACTAAAACAGTCAAACTTCACATTATTCATCTGTATTTTAATGATCAATAATCACTTTAGTTGTTCCTTAAATTTTATTCAGAAACTTTTATTTTAAATTTCCTGTTGTGTTTAGGTTTGACAGGATTGCTGAGGTATTTTTGTCTCCAGTCATTGTTCCTCTTGGTAGGTGCTGGAATCAACATTCGGGTCAGTGAGGATTTGCTCAAGTTTGTTTTTTGTGCACTGCCATTTAGTTTGTCATGCAACCTGTCCATTTTTAACCTTAGTTGTATTTTATTTATTTGTATGAGATGGTTATAATACGAGTATCAGAAAAATTGGCAAGTTAAATTTTTCTACTGTAACTATGTTGCAAGTTTACACTAATTTTATCCTATCTAGTCCTAAAGTTGTATTTCTAAGGTAATCTTGTGACATATTATAAATCTTATAAAATAGGCGATACAAGCATCGCTCATAAAGTGGTATGTCTGGTATATAAATTATTTTTTACAACCTGTCGTTTTTGTTTCTTGAGGCATAACATTTAAAATTCACATTAGGTATTTGTCTGTTATGCTTTAGTATGGTTTATTGTAAATAATTTACCCCTTTTTCTTGATTTTTTGATTACCCAATTAATACTTATCTGTTTATTTACAAGAAAATTTTAGAGTAACATCGTGTCTTTTATATTATAACGATAACTTTTATGTATTTATTTTTCAAATTTTTGATATTAACCCTTTTACATAAGTAAAAAAAAAAAACTTTATTTTTTTATAACTTTGACTTAGTTTTAAAACTGTAATTTTACCACAATGTTTGCTAATTGGTTAGTAACAACTGCTTTTATAGATAAGATTTAAAAATTAATTGTACTATTTATCAGTGTTTTTGTACCACAATATGGGTATTGATGTAAAACTCACAAATATTAATCCTTGATGCTTGTCTTGCCTTTCTAACTTCAATTAATAACAATTATTTGTAATAATGACCATCCATAGAGTTGTAATCTCATGATGTTATACAAATGTGTATAGAATTATTTAAATATAATTATGTAATTTAAAACTGTTTTGTTCTATATTTGTTATCTTTTTAAGGACTAATATATTATGCTTTGAACTGAGTCTCGTGTATGAAAAGTAGCTTCATTTATAAATAGTTATTTTGTATTGAAAATAAAGCCTTGATGAAGAAATCTGGACTTGTTCATACCTTTTTACGTTAAAGCTGTTGAAACTAGAATTTTGGTTACTGTACTTTTAATGCTTTTATAAATTAATTTCTTTAAAAAATGATTTTATAACTATTATAATAGAGGTGTTAATCCCGTATCAGAGATTTAGCACCACACAGTTTTTGTCTCAAGGACAGTAATGAAAATGGTAAGGAAAAGATACTCTTTTTTCATAATCCACAGATAAAGCAACAATTAAAGCTTAATTGAAAAAATGTATAAATTCTGTTTTGATATAAAATTAACTAATGTCCCTGTTCCTCGAAATCGAGCAATTGCTAAGTATTACAGGCGTTATTTTAATTTTAAACGAATAACAGTCATAATTTTTGATGACTTTAAAAAAGATTTGACTCAAAGATAATGGAATACTCAAGATGTACATAACAGATCGATATAATCACATTTCTTGTAAATATCTTATTATTTTTCAAAAGCTGATCTGGTTCACAACTTCACTTGCTGATGAATTAACTGCCAAAGTAAAGACCAATGCAAAAGTGCAAAACAATAGCATTTCTATTATTCATGCTTGTTTATGTGGTGATAGTGTATGCACTAGGTTCATCACAACAGTCCTAGTGAAGTTTTTATATTTTGTTTATACTTTAACTGTCTGTCATTCATTACATAGGTACCTTAAAACAATAGTCAAGTATTGTTGAGTTGAAGACATTGTTTACCACAGAGGTAATGAGAGTGCGAGTGGATGTCATATGTTTGGGTCTCTATTTTCTTTTCTTCATAGGGGTATTGATTTAAAACATGAACATCTCAAATATAATATAATCAACTATAACATGTAATATACTTAACTCTCAATAAACAAATGATTTAAACATAAAATTGTTTACAAATTATAATAATGGACATTTTTATTTGGTATACCAGGTATTAATAAAAGGGCAGTTTGCATTACTCTGTACGGTTTTAATTTAATAAAACTACCTAGAGGTCGTCTAGTGAATGAAAACTCAACCAAAAATATGTAGTGTACAGACTTCTCTATTTTCACCCTGCGTTGCTAATAAAACATGTGATTGGAACAATTGATTCTTCCATTTGTTTTGATCTTCTGTTTATATTGCGTTGTTCTTTTGTCAGCATGGTAACCCATAAGCCCCATGTTAGTTTTTTAGAATTTTAAATTAATTGTTGGTGTTAATTTTTGTTGTATTTTAATTTATAGAGGTATTTTGCACATCTACAGGCAAATATCTTTCTAACAGTATGTGCAGATTTTCCCTGAAATGCACACGACCTGAGAAAAAAGGTTACAAAGAAACATGCTTGCCTATTAATATATAGATAGATAGTAATATAATAACAAAAAATATAAACAAATAACACTTTTTACATACATAAACTAATTATTTAGACAGCATTTTATACTAACACATTTTACAATATTTTAACTTCTTAACCTATCTTACACTAGAGGACTGACATTATAACATTTATAAATCTGAAAACTAAAATTCAAATATATTTATTTAAAATAATACTACAGCTTGGCCTCGCCAAGTTTGTAAAACTTGTCGACGAGGTCCAGTTCATGCACAAAAAGTAACAAACTTATTTTTATTTTATTTGTTCAAAAATGTATCTAGCACTACTAATTCCATGGCATTTTGTGTTGCAAATAGTTTTATTTGCATGAAACTTATTTTCCTTCTGAAAAGGTATTGTCGTATTTTTTTTTATCAAATCAAAAAAATTAAAAACAAATAATAATAATATTCAATTTATTCAAAAGTGATAAGTCCTTTTATTAAATTGGCCTTCAAAATGTTTTTCATCCTTTTCATGACAACCCACTCACCAATTCCTAATCATAAATTTCTTCTGTCATATATTTATTTACTTTAAGAATTTAGCTACTGTACTCATTTTGTTTTAGTACATTGTCCAGGTTTCATATTCAAATTATTCCTTATCAATCTTCCAACTCTTTTAAAATCTCCTCTAAGGTCTTATTTTTTGTTTCCGGCACTATGAAGATTACAAATAGTGTTCCGACAATTGAAAATGCTGTGAAAATGAAGAATGCACCTCCTCTCCCCACTAGCGAACTGATATCATCAAAGAAGTTTGTTATGATAAAAACACAGAAGTAGTTGAACATGCAAACTACCGAAGCCGCATATCCTGCAATCTTTCTAGGGAATACTTCTGCTAGGAACACCCAAGGTAATGGGCCATAACCGAGGGCAAATGAGATTAGGTACAGACAAACTGCAGTGATAGGAACCCATGTGACAGAGTCCATGTCGTAGCTTTTGTCTTTCATGAAGAAGAAGAGCCCAATTAGGAATGTGCAGATGGCCATCCCGATGTCAGAGACAAGCAGCAGGGGCCTGCGTCCTAGTCTGTCCACAGCAATGGACGACACGTAGGTGAAGACCAGATTCACCAGACCTGTCACTATGGTCTGGACGTTAGAGTCGAGGCTGCTGCCGGCCTCCTGAACACATACCAGCTTGGGTTACTACACTCATTATGATAAACACAACTTAAGAAATTATCATGTATTATAAAATTGTGTATCCCTTGGATCAGCAGCTTACAACGGATCCAGATATATGTAAATATTTCAACTAATATGTAAAAGTATAATATAGGCTATTGTTTTTATAAAATTGTATTTGTTTCCCAAATATTTTATAGAGTTGTTTTTCTAATGAGCTTTTATAGGATTGACACAGGCCCACTTTTATAAACGGGCAGACTGGGCATATGCCCAGGGGCGCCAGTGATGGTTGAGGTTGAGGTTGAATTTGAATAAAGCATTTTATAACTTAGTTTTCATCACCAGGGGCGAAAGTGGCTCTTTTCATCAAAAAACTATTTTCATCATACTGTGGAAATAACCTTCTCGTTGAAAAACAAATACAAAGTCGTCATCAACTTTTACATTTTTGTTGTTTGCAAACATAACTTTAGGGTTGTATAAATATTGTGTACATTTAGCATTGTTTTTATAATGCACTGGTAACATTTTGAGGTGCTTCTGAAATGTGTAAAATGTGAACTGAAAAATTTACCATATGTTTTTTTTTTTGTTCCTTATTTGAAGTTACCTGAAAACGATGATTTTACTGACTATTTTGAGAGAAAAAAATTGGCTGCTTTTCAGACAGTATGATGACAAAATATTTTCAAACTCTGTCTATTTTTTTAGAGGTGGAATGTATATCCATTTACAATCCGGTATCTGGACAATTTGTATCTAGTGTCTGGCTGAATATTAGCCACTAGTAGCTAGATACCAGATACTTGAATAAGTAAATAAAATAGTTTTTAAATTGTTACAATTTATAATGTTCTACACAACTTGAAACAACCATAATGACAAGTATACTGATTGGCCATGTAGCGCTAAACGTCTATATAGCATGCAAGCCAATCTACCCTTTATCCCTCAGTCAAAGAGACTTGTTCAGACTTGTATTACTGTATCATGAATCATAATCAATCCCTCTACCACAACCACGATCATTACATTAGGGTCATAAATTTCAGTCATCTGGTGATGGATGTCGGCATAGAATATGTGTTTCTTGTGGTATAAACCTATCACTGACCTTATCTCAAATAAGGCATGCGGAGGGAGATTCTGTAGTTTAAAAAATTTTTAAATCACAGCGAATTGTACATGTCAGATAAAGAGCTGCAAATGATGTCATTTTGTTCACAAATGATGCCAGTAAGTTGCGAGGAGCCTCATTGCGGCATACAAATAGATTTACCAATTTATACACAAAAACGGCACTTACTAAATAAAAAAAAACACCCTTTTGTTAAACTTACTTCAAACTGTATGCATAAATACTATTTAACTTTGAATAAGATAAATTTTCTTTCCAAACTATTACACATTGTTAAGGTACGGTAATTAAACTTACCTTGAAAATGATATCTGTGTAGAAGACAATGCTGTTAACTCCACAAAACTGTTGGAATAACATAAGTCCTAAACATATTACCAAACCTTTTTTGGCAGCTGTTGATGAAAATGCTTCAAAAAAGGTAACCTTTGAATCTTTGACCTGAAAGTAAATAACATTTTGTATTTTATCTTTTAAAAAATTCAATTTGATTATTTAAAAAAATTACAGTAGACCTCTTAACCGACCTTGCATTGTCCAATAATGGGATTATCCGCCGTCCCTCGTAAAATATTACAGTTTGTGAGCACTTTGGTTTAACCGCCGCTTTCTAGGACTCTCGGCACGGCATTTCCACTCTCTTGCTCAGTTAAGGGAATACGCTAAGTTCTACAGAATGTTACATGCTATAAATAAACATCCTGTCTTGTTACGCAATGGTTGCTTGCTTGTATCTTTAATTTCTACAATAAGTTCTGTAGTGTATTACAATGGATTTGGAGAACATTAATTATTAATATTACTAAGGGTATTGAAATAAGAATTTTTATTGACTATTACTATTGCCTAAGACTACAATCTATTCCACTGAAAGTCAAAGTATTTAACTTTACCGTGTTTTGTGTTTATTTGTGACATTTATATTGTCAATACTTAAAAAAAATTAGATAAGAGTGTAGTTTATTTTGTTAATAATGCACGCACGACTTCAGAATAGTGATTAAATAGTTCCAAATAAATAGCACTTAATTTTATTAAGTTAAGGGATTGCCCGTTTTAACCGACTTTTTGACTTATCCGACATTGGTCCAGTCCCATTAGGGTCAGTTTTAAAAGAGGGGTTTCTACTGTACTAGGTTCTTTAACACTGTATAGCCTGTAGGCTATTTAATATTATTAAGTAATACATTAACTATCTAACAACATTGATACTCTGTTAATATTTGTATTGGAAAACTCGCATCAACAATTAATTAAGTAAACTAAAAATCAAACGTTAAATACTATTAACGTTTTTTTTTGTTTCAATCAAAATGGATGTCATTTATATTACT